ACACAGTAACAACAAAGTCTCCAATGGAGACTTACTGGGCCCGCTCGAGCAAATCAATGAACAATGGAAGGACAGTGACAGTGACAGTTTGTCCTAACTATGGTATCTTTCAGCAGTTTAATACAGGTTTTTTTCAAATATATCTGTCACATATGACTAGTGATTTTGTATCTCTGAAGTGAGTAAACAAGTGGGCACACCCAGTGCCTACACATGGAAATCATGTGCTTTTCTGCTGAGTCATATCCCTAGCTCCTATTTTGGGGGTGCAGGAGTTTGGGCCAGAGAGATTTGCCCCAGCTATGCTCAGGGGTCACTATTGACAGCTTGAGGACCACATAATGTGCCAGAGATCAAACCTCAGTTTGGCAGCATGCAAGGCCAGCACCCTACCTGCTATACTATCTGGCTCCTATTTTGTGATTTTTTTTTTAACCCCAGACTGGAACATGCACCTTGTTTTTTTCTTGTCGCCTGTCTCAGTTTACCACAGACTGGTTTACAGCAGCCTGAATTTCTTGTTCTGGACTTGGAGGCGTGTGTGATGTGTGTGTGGCCATGTTCCTTCTGGTGTCTCCAGGGAATTTGCTTCCTTCAGTGTGCTGCTCCAACCCACCTGCCTTTGCTTTAGTTTTTTAAGCAGGGCCTTACTGATCTGTGCCTCCTTTATCACACCCCCTGCTCTACCGGCATGTCTCCCTCCCTCCTCTTGTGAGAATCAAGAGATTCCAGTAACAGTCATTTCATCGGGAAATCCACAGTCACCATTCATGTCCCATGCCTGTATCTGGAGTTCCTTTTGTTATACTGAGGGGTTATGTAATGTATTGCTGAGATACTTATATCTCAGAAGCTGGCAGTCAAGAGTGAACTCCTTTGCAGCAGGAACATTTTTCTGCTAAGGCTCCTCATCTCCACCCTCAGCTGTCACCTTTCTGCCTTCTTTATTCCAACACAGACCTTTTCTTTTGGGGTGGAAAGGTTTGTGCCACACTGGAGGCACTCAGAAATTAGTCCTGGTTCTGCAGATCACTCCTGGCACGATCAGAGGAGGGATTGAACCCAGGTCTGCCATGTGCAAGGCAAGAGCTCTAGCTTTGAGCATAGACCTTTTGGAGTGGTTATCGGAGCCACATCTGGTAGTGCTCTGGGATTGTTCTTGGCATCGTCTGCGGGACCATGTGGTGCACCTGGTTCTTCTGAATGTGAAGCATGTGCACTAGATTTTGCGCTGTCTTCCCTGGCTCTTCGGTACTGCATCGCCACATTACCACATGGTATAATTCACAGTACCACATGTCTACCATATCACATGATACGATACATAGTAGTATTATATGACTGCTATTCTCCATGGTACAATCCATAGTACCGTGGCCACCTAGGCCCCACCTGGGAGCAAACACCAATTACTGAGTTGGGTGTGAACCCTGAACAACACTGGGCATAGTGCAAAAACAAAACACAAAGAAGAGTCAGGAATTAATCAGGGACTACACATTGCTTAGATAGATAGATTTTTTTTTTTAATTTAGAAAAGTGTCAGGCGAGAGAAAGGGTAAGTACATGTTCAAGAGAGAACACAGGCTTCTCCGGAGAGGAAATAAGCAGGAAAAGAATGAAGATACATGTTCAAAGGAGAACACAGGTGTGAAGAACAACCACATTACATATGCTGAAGCAATGAAATCACTTCTGTTTCCCGACTTTGTCCTTGTGTCATTGGAGTTTTTTTTCATCCCTTGGTTCACTGTAAACTGGGCAGTGGACTGAAAGATTCTGTTTCTCTTTTATGTTTTGTTTTTGGATCATACCTGGTGATGCTCAGGGCTTGCTCCTGGCTTTGTACTCAGGAATCACTCCTGGCAGTGCTCAGGGCACCATATGGGATGCTAAGGATTGAACCTAGATCAAAGTCTTACCTGTTGTATTAGCATTCCAGCTCTCTTTCTTTTAAAGGGAAAAGCAGGGACTGGGGTAAAGAACAAAGTTCTGGGCCAGAGAGATAGTACAGTGGTTGAGGTCTTTGCATGCAGCTGACCCCAGTTAAACCCTTGTCACCACATATGGACCCTCCATGCACCACTAGTAGTGACTTCTGAGCACTGAGGCAGAAGTATCCCTGAGCACTGCCAGGTTTGACCCAAAACCCCAATATTAGAAAAATCAACTAAAGAGCCTTATATGTGCAAAGCATGTGCCTTAACATTGATTGAGCTACATCCCAAACTGTTTCTCTTTCTGCCAACGCTACTTCTTGCGGGCCTGGAGTTCATGGCATCCCTATGAACACAGCAACTCTGGTAGTCCCGGTTTCAGTTGATGTGATGGAATAATGGATACAGATATATCCAACCTGATTCCTTTAGAAGTTGCCCTGCCTTGGGGTTGGAGCAATAGCACAGCGGGTAGGGCATTTGCCTTGCACGCAGCCGACCCAGGTTCGATTCCCAGCATCCCATATGGTCCCCTGAGCACCACTAGGGGTAATTCCTGAATGCAGAACCAGGAGTAACCCCTGTGTTTCGCAAGGTGTGACCCAAAAAGAAAAAAAAAAAGAAGTTGCCCTGCCTTGCATTGATGGTTTGGTAGCCATTGATGATCTCAGGCAGTGTCCATTGTTATAGAGGTTGAAGAATTACTCAAATGATTTAAAACGTTTCCTGCTAATCGATGTTCTGTTCTTTTTAAATGTGGCTATGGAATTACTGGCCTTTTGGATGAGTGGGAGCTGAACTTGTGACCCAAACCATCAGCTTTGTAGCTACTGGGGATAAGGATTCAGACCTGCTAAAGTGAAAAAAGTGAGCTTATTTTGGTGTGATGGAGGAGGAGGTTGTGCAGGATTGACTCTAACTCCTCATACACGTGAAACCACTTGGCAACATCTTCCCCAGTGTAGTGAACTGTGAAACTAAGTAGATGTGACTTTCTCGTGAGATTAAGCAGCTTGAGATGGCAAACAAGGAGCATTTGGGACAACCTATGTGTGCTGGGGGAAAGTCCCATCCGGTTTCCTGACTGAAAACACAATGATTGTTGCTTCTTACTGTCTTAGGCTTGGGGCACTTCTTTCCGTATTACATTTTAGTAGAAGCTCCCTAAAATGTACAGTGGCATTCATCAAGGAAACAGACATGAGCAGGCCTCTTGAAGGAAAGTCAGCAAGTTGTCATTGATGAATCCAGGTTTGGGAGGATTTTACCAAGGGAGGTTAAGGTCAGATTCAGGGACTTACTGGAGCTGAATTCGTTGTGGATTTTAGGCTAGTGTTTGTGAAAAGGGAGAGGGAGCTTGTCAGCTAGCTATGATAGAAGTTGACACGCTGGGACTTACTGGAGCTGAATTTGTTGTGGATTTTAGGCTAGTATTTGTGAAGAGGGAGAGGGAGCTTGTCAGCTAGCTATGATAGAAGTTGACAGGCTGAGGTACCAGCAGCAAGCAGCAAAAGCGGAGAAAGAAAATGCCACTACCAGGCACAGGAAGGAAGGCTTCAAGAAAAAGGCTGACTGCAGGTAGAAGAGAAGTGACTTGGCAGGCTGCAAGATGATTCCTGATGCAGATCCCTCAGTGGGTGAATCTCCAGCAACTGTTTCTTTTAAAACTCTGCATTGACACAGAAGTAGAACAGAAAGTCTGTTTCCAGGTAGAGGAGACATTGCCAAGGAGGGACCTGTAAGGGAACAGGACTGGGTTTGCTGCATGACTTGAATGATGCACCACTCACTCCCTCACAAGAGAAGGCATGCCCAGATACCTAAAACGCTGCTGACTATGTTCATTCATAGGCTATGCTTCATCTTCCTTTCTCATTTTCTATTGTGTGTTCTTGGTTCTATTTTCCCTAAATATGTGTGGAGTTTTAAGGACTTGAGTGCTTTCAAATCGATTGAAGAGGGTGGAACATATACTTTATTTACCTGAGGTTCTGAGTTCTATACACTTTGGGGGTACTACATACCCTTCTCCCCAAAACTGCCTGTTTTATCTTCTATAATATATATGGAAGGCCCAATGTAGAAACAAGAACTTGGGCCAGGAGATAGTATAGCACATACCTGTGTTGCCCTCCCTGCACCAAAGGGCCCTTGACACTGCAGGGCCAAAGCAGCATCACGTCCTCGGGCCCTTGGCTGGTTGGCCAAGAGTCACCAGTTGGGCCCTTGATTTTCTAAACACCACTTGGGAGTAAGAAGTCACCACTTCCAAGCCCCCTGAAGGAAAGAAACAAAAATAACTTAAAGGGCTGGGAGATAGAGCTCCTTGGGCTCAGGGCTTGCACATGTTTAACCTTCTTGGATCTGTGGCAGGACATGGTTCTCTGATGAGTTTTGCTGCATGCAGCCTCAGAGGCCTCTAGTGCCACTTGGGTGGCCCAGGTAAACACCAGCACCTCAGGGCTGAATAGCATCACATTGTCAGGCACTCTTATTGGACTGCCAGGCTGAGAATTGCTGCTGGATCTCCCAGGCCTCCTAAGCACTATTGGGGAGCCCCCAAAATAACAAGAATTTATATGCTGTGATGGTATTCTAACAGACCCACTTTGGCCTGATGGATAATCTATGGCTGAAACCTTCCCTACGGCAGCTAGGAAGACAGTCTGTGTAAATCACCCTTGAAGACCTAGATGATGTTGATCAGACTAGCCAAGGTTATTGATCTATAGTCCATGCTTGTAATTGGCATCTATCATGATTCTGGACATGGTTTAGTGTTTTTATCTCCAGAGAAGGGATCATCTGCTAATACTAGCCATTGTTACTGAACTGTGAAAATGTCTAAAACCTGCTGGTGTTGTGATTATTGTGAGTCTGGACATCTGATTCTCTTAGGGTATATCCCAAATGTGGGCCACTGGTGGGGCCATGGCACTCATGTGGACCATGTCAGAATATTGACTATATCCAAGACTGCTCCTAGATATCCTGTTGCCTCCCAGGAGTCCACCCCCAATATACTGGTGTTCTCAGACTGAGGAGGAATCTGTGCTCTTCTAGGAACTAGTGACCTTCAAAGATGTGGCTGTGAACTTCACCCGGGAGGAGTGGGAGCAGCTGGACTCTGTTCAGAGAACCTTGTACCATGATGTGATGCTGGAGACTTATGGGCACCTGCTCTCAGTGGGTAAGGCTGGTGCTACTCAAGTAAACAAAGTTATTCCCATTGTAATACTTTGTCATTTCCATAGTGGTCTCAAAAGGCCAAGTTGATATTGAGTCTTTAGGTTTAAGGATGAAATTGAAATTTTTGATGCTTACGAAACATGAACTAAGAGAGGCCATGTTTATTCTGCCCAGATATGAACTTAGGAATTGACAGCAGAAATGTACCTGGCTAAACAAGCCTATGTTTTTCCTCTATGCTTAGGAAATCAAATTGCCAAGCCTAAGGTCATCTCCCTGTTGGAGCAAGGAGAAGAACCATGGATGGTGGAGCAAACACATTTTCAAAGCATCTGTCCAGGTGAGAGGAAGCCCTCAGTGGGAGCAAGGAATGTTCTTCTAAGCCCTCCTTGTGTGAGAATTGGGCTGAGTCCATTAGAATTAGCATCCTCTGGACCTTCACAAATTTCTTCCTGGAGATTTATTGACTTTTCTTTTTGCTGTCATTGATTCACAGTAAAGTTGCCAGCTTACTATTAATGGTGCACTTTCATTCCCTCACTGTCTTCTCTCCTGATGCCGCTCCTATTCTTAGATGTCCCTTTCCTTTAGTGAATTCTTATCCACATACTTGGCTGGTAATTTGCAGGGGAGAGAGCCTCCCAAATAGTACTGAGAGGCTCTGAGGCCACTCCAGGTGATACTTGATCCTGGCCAACTGGGCTGGTTCATTAAGCTTCTGCTGCTTCATGAGCCATCCAGTTCCAGACCACCCCAGTGGTTCTAGGAACCACTGGAGTCACATCTGGCAGGGTTCACTGGGCCTCCCAAACTACATACGATAATACCTGAGAGTCCATGTGGAGCTATAGATTAACTGAGGATGTGTGCATGCCAGACCTATGTCTTCACCCCTTTGCTGTGTACTAGCCCGGCCCCTGCTTCGTAATTTTAAAATTTCCTTCATTTCCCAACTTGTACCTTGTAGCCATAGACTGTTTAAGAAAAAGGCGGGGGTGCTGGTGGTAGTAGTGGTGGTGGTGGTGGTAACATCATCAGTGACTAATGGGACCAGATAATACACTGAATAAGGTACTTGGCTTACACGTGATCAACTCAATTTTAGTTCAGCAATCTGTATTGTCCCCTGAATCCTACTAGGTGTGATCCCTGAGTGCAAAGTGAGGAATAATTGCTGAGTACTGCTTGTGCCTCCCCCTACCCCTTCCAAAAGGGCAGAGAGAGAGAACTCGATGGATTGGTGCACATTTTTTGCACCTAGAAAGCCCAGTTGAATGCCTGGCACTGCATTGTTCCCCCAAGCGTCATCAGAAGTAATCTCTGAGCACTGAGTAATGCTGGGTGAGGCCTCCCAAAATTAAAAAATTCTTTTAATATAGATAATAGAGTTACATAATTTGTAAAAATTAAAGCTGTATAAAGTAAATGTGTGAACTGAAAGAATCTCATTTATATTTTCTTCTCTTGTCAAGGTTACTTTTTTGTTTATTTCTGTTGTGGGGCCACACCCAGTGATACTCAGAGTTATTCCTGGTTCTCTGATCATGAATTATTCCTGGTAATGCACAGGGGCCATATAGGATGGCCCTGTGAAAGCAAACGCCCTGTTCGCTGGACTATCTCTCCAGCCCCCTTTTTTTGTTTTATTTTGAATCACACCCAATGGCGGTACTTAGGGATTATTCCTGGTTTTCATTCATGGGTCACTCATGGCATGTTGGGAACCTTATGGGGTGCCAGGTATTGAACCCTGGTGGATTGTGTGCAAGGCAAGTGCCTTAATCACTGCACTAGTGCTCTTGCTTCTTTATAGTCTTCTTTTGGGCAGGGGGAGGGGATGCAGGGTGTCACACCCAATGGTGTGCAGGGCTTACTCCTGGCTGTGAACTCAGAGATCATGCCTGACCAGGACTCAGGGGACCATATGTCATGCCAAGGATCAAACCTGGATCAGCTTCATGCAAGGCAAGTGCCTTTCCTGCTGTACTATCTCTCCAACCCCTTTTTTGTTGTATTTTGAATCATACCTAGTGGTGGTACTCACGGCTTACTCCTGGCGCTCACTCAGTGATCACTCTCGGCATGTTTGAGAACCATATTGGGTGCCAGGGATTGAACTCTGGTTGACTGTGTGCAAGCAAGTGCCTTAATCCATACACTACTGCATTACTATCTGGTTTCTTCACATTTTTTTTTAAAGTGCCTTACTCCCTACACCATTGATCTAGTCTCTTCACATACTTCTTTTCTTTTTGAGGGGTGAGGTGTCATACCCAGTGATGTGCAGGACTTACTCCTGGCTCTGCACTCAGGATTACTCCTGGCGGGGCCTGGCTTCTTTTGTGGTACCAGGGATCAAACCTGGGTCAGCCAGATACAAGGCAAGCGCCCTAACACATACACATACACACATGTCCTTTTTGTTTGTTTGTTTTAAATGGTTGGAAATTGAATGAAGGTTTCAAACACTTAATCCCTTTTAGTATAACCCACTGTGATTTTTGCCCTATGACTTAGTGAATTTGGTGTCATTGAAATGCAATGTGGCTAGAGCGATAGCACAGCAGGTAGGGCATTTGCCTTTCAAGTGGCCAACCTGGGTTCAATTTCCAGCATCCCATATGGTCCCCGGAGCACTGCCAGAAGTAACTCCTGAATGCATGAGCCAGGAGCAACCCCTTGTGCATTGTTGGATATGACCCCAAAAGAAAGAAAAAAATATCATGTAACAGAGACTGTGATAGCATCATAGATGACACACTGACATGAAGCCTCTGTATCCTTTCTGTTCTGCTGGGAAAAGACTATTGAAAACATACTGTATTTTCTCTGATTTTACCTCCCTTTACCATTTCCCTCTGCTGAATATGCTTTGTGATCTTTCAAACTATGACTGACTTCTGAGTTCTATGAGTACTTTCAGTGAAGCACTCAATTCTGGGATGGTCATTGATCTGACTCGTGACAAAAGGAAACAGTGAATTCTCCTTAGGTGAAGTTAGATGATAGATGATAGATGAGCAACTAGACATTTTAAAACTAATATGTAAAGTATTAAAGGCCAGAAATGGAGCATCTCAGGTGTCCAGGATTATTCTCTCCTGCACATCCAAATTTGGTCATCTTTTCTTGGGAAAATACTTTTTGATTGATATGTTTATCATGAGCATATACTTTGTATTTTGGTTAACTTCTTTTGTTTTTCACTATTCTTGTTATCTTTCTGGATTATAATGCATTTTCCTTCTTACTAACATAGAAAAAAATTTTTACTTTCTAACATATTCTTGTAAGTTCTTTATGTTCTCATGGCTTTTCTCCCCTCTATTTCAGAATGGAAGAAAAAAATTGAAAGTAAAACATTGATCCCAACACAGAATACTTCTCAGGAAGAAAAGTCCCATAGCATGAAATTGGAAAGGTATATTTGGAATGATCCTTGGTTCTCTAGGTTAGAAATTTTGGGATATAAAGACCAATTAGAAATCTACCACATGAACCAGAACACAGCTATGAGGCAAATGGTCTTCATGCAAAAGCAAGTGCTATCTCAGAGAGACTATGAATTCTGTGCATCTGGGGCGGATTGTAACCAGAGTTTAAATTTTGTTCCATCTCAGAGAGTTTCTCAAATTGAACATTTCTATAAGCCTAATATAATTCCTGAAAGTTGGAGATGTAACTCGGCCATAATGTATGGAGACAATATTACTTGTGAAAATAGTTATGACAAAGCCTTTTCCCAGTCTATGCAACTTATTCACCCTGTAAGAATGCAAACTGGAAGCAACATTTTCAAACGTACTGATACTATTAAATCTTTCAACCACATATTACATTTTGGTGATCATAAAGGAATGCATACAGGAGAAAACCTATATGAATATAAGGAATGCCATCAGATTTTTAACCAGAGTCCACTATTCAGTGAACATCCAAGATTTCACACTGGGGAAAACCAGTATGATTATAAAGAATATGAAAATATCTTTTATTTCTCATCCTTTATGGAACATCAGAACATTGGTACTGTAGAGAAAGCATGTAAATACAATGATTGGGAGAAAGTCTTTGGATATGACTCATTCCTTACTCAGCAGACAAGCACTTATGCTACAGAGAAACCTTATGACTATAATGAGTGTGGCACATCTTTTATCTGGAGCTCTTACCTTATTCAGCATGAGAAAGCACATATCGATGAGAAACCCTATGAATGTGACAAATGTGGAAAGATTTTTAGGAATCGTTCATCCCTTACTAAACATGAACGGATTCACACTGGAATAAAACCTTATGAATGTAATAAGTGTGGAAAAACCTTCAGCTGGAATTCTCATCTTATTGTACACAAGAGAATTCATACAGGAGAGAAGCCTTATGTATGTAATGAATGTGGGAAATCTTTCAATTGGAACTCCCATCTTATTGGACACCAGAGAACACATACTGGAGAGAAGCCTTTTGAATGTACTGAATGTGGGAAATCGTTCAGCTGGAGCTCCCATCTTATTGCCCACATGAGAATGCATACTGGAGAGAAACCCTTTAAGTGTGATGAATGTGAAAAGGCTTTTAGGGATTACTCAGCCCTTAGTAAACATGAAAGAACTCACTCTGGAGCAAAGCCATATAAATGTACTGAATGTGGAAAATCTTTTAGCTGGAGCTCCCATCTTATTGCCCATCAGAGAACTCATACGGGAGAGAAACCCTACAATTGTCAGCAGTGTGGTAAAGCATTCAGAGAACGTTCAGCTCTCACAAAACATGAAATAATTCATTCTGGGATTAAACCCTATGAATGTAATAAGTGTGGGAAATCATGCAGCCAGATGGCGCACCTTGTTAGACATCAAAGGACTCATACGGGAGAAAAACCTTATGAATGCAATAAGTGTGGAAAATCCTTCAGCCAGAGCTGTCACCTTGTTGCACATAGAAGAATTCACACTGGTGAGAAACCCTATAAGTGTAATCAGTGTGAGAGATCCTTCAACTGTAGCTCTCACCTTATCGCACACCGAAGAACGCATACGGGAGAGAAACCGTATAGGTGTAATGAATGTGGAAAAGCATTTAATGAGAGTTCTTCCCTTATTGTGCATCTGAGAAATCATACTGGAGAAAAACCCTACAAATGTAATCATTGTGAGAAAGCATTTTGTAAGAATTCTTCTCTTATAATTCATCAGAGAATGCATAGTGGAGAGAAACATTTTATATGCAGTCACTGTGGAAAAGCATTTAGTGGTCACTCAGCTCTTCTTCAACATAAGAGAAATCATAGTGAAGAAAAAGTCTGTGAATAGAACTGATAAAAGACTTTTATAGTACAATTGATAATACACTGGGGAAAATACTCTATTAGTAAAATCAGAAGGGGAAATTTTTAGTAAGAGTTCTTCACTAATGGAAAATATATTCATCTTAGATAAAATCTATGAATAAAAAGAATATGGAAAGCTTTTAGAAATCACAGACCCGTTTTAAATACTAGAAAGATTGGAGAATTTAAATTTCCCTCATGATCAATCAGGAACCCTGCTTAAGAACATGAATATAGTAGTGAAATATCTCAGTACAAGATCCCAACTGTGTGTGGATCAGAGTGCACTGTTAGAGGGAGAATCTTATGTAGGAAAGCTGTTTTAACTGAAAATAATGATTTTTTTTTGTCAAACTGGAGTAGTGGATGGGAAACTTTACAGTAACATTTTGTAAATAACTGTGGAAAAACAGACTTTATCACGGATAAATAACAGAATATTGAATACTAAATCTGAACTTACAGGAAAAAGTATGAATGGCATATTTACTGTTGGTCAAGATTAAACCTAGAAAAGTTTAGTAAATTAGATTATGAATAGTGGAGAAGTTAATGACTAGGAGTATGAGATAATGGTAGAACAAAAAGTGATACTGTAAGGGTTGGAATGATAACACAGTGGGTAGTGCATTTGCTTACACGCAGCCCGACCTGGGTTTGATTCCCAGCATCCCATACGGTCTCCAAACACGGCCAGGAGTAATTCCTGAGTACATGAACCAGGAGTAACCCCTGTGCATCGCTGGGTGTAACCTAAAAAGCAAAAAAAAAAAAAAAAAAAAAAAAAGATACTGCATAGCACAGTGTATAACACGGTGTATTGTAAGTGTATTTGACCACTCCTCACTGCATTGTTGGACAGTTTGTAATATATTTTAGGCAATCACTGTACTTTATGATTATGGACATTGCATCAATATATACAGTGTGAGGGAATAAAAATAATATATTTACAATAGTATCTAAAATATATATGAATAAGTAATGTAAAGAAATATGGGGTATGGGGACGAGAGTGGTAATACAGTGGTTAGGGTGTTTGCCTTGCACATGTCCAACCCAGGTTTCGATCCCCAGCATCCTATATAGTTCCCTGAGCACTGCCAGAAGTGATTCCTGAGTGCAGAGCCAAGAGTAACCCTTGAGCCTCTCTGGGTATGACTCAAAAAGCCAAAAAATAAAAAAAGAAAAGTGGAAAATCAACATGGTTAATTTAAGATTTTTTTCTAAAGCTTTACAGACAGGGTTCTTAACAATGTGGTAGACACTGTTTTGAGTGAGTTTTCAAGCACTAACTTTTCAGTTCCTTTAATTCTATGAGATAGGTACTATGACTCCCAGTTTTACAAGAACAGAAACAGAGGTCGAGATACTGGGAAGGCTAAGGATACACCTAATATAACAGAGCATCCCGGCATTGCTTTAGTGGTGCTAAGATGACCATGTGGTGCCAGGCATCAAACCCTTTTGAATTATTGGTCCAGAGTTCATGTTTTTGACCACTATATTATGCTGCTTCTCAAGTGATTTCTTTTGGGGGGAGGAACTTTTTGGGTCAGATCCAGAAATGCTCAGGGATTATTCCTGGCTCTACACTCAGGAATCACTCAGTGCAGTGCTCAGGGGACCATATAGGAAGCTGGTGTTCGGACCCAGGTTGGCCGCATGCAAAGCTCTATTTGCTGTACTATTGCTCTGGCCCTCCTGTGATTTTTTTACATTTGCTTATTTTGCTACACCAGGGGTGTTTGGAGGCCACTCCCAGCATGGTGCTCAGGGGTGGCCCCCAGCACTGCATTGGAAGACTGTATGGTGTTTTGGATTGGAACCAGCATTCCTCATGCAGAGCAGATATTTCAGCCCTTTGAGCTACTTCCCTGGGCACTCCCAGTGATTTTTTTAGGATATTGGGGGCCCACACCTGGTTACTCCTGTCTCTGCACTTGCTTCCTAGTGGGCTCTGGGGATCATATGGAATGCCGACAATCGAATGAGGTCAGACCGCTGCAAAGCAAGTGTCCAACCTGCTGTACTATCTCTCTGGCCCCAGTTATTTGATAATAAAAAGAAAGAAATGCCTAAATAATGAGAAATAAAGTTCTCTAGCTCTCTGTCTTGAAGGAAGTTCAATAATATGAGTGTTAATATCCTTTTAGAATACAATATCTGGATTGGACATTCAGAATTACTGCCTTTGGTGAGAACTGTCCCTAGAATGTCACTGCCCACACCTAAGTATTATACCATAACAGTGGCTGGAGGACACAACTGAGTTTTGACAAGTCAGGAATGCACCTTATTGGAGTTAGCATGTTCCTTATGGTCTCCACTACCAATGGGAGTTCTGTTTCTCTAAGTATCCTGGAGTTCAGTGTTTTTATCCAGATGAGGATATCTTTAATAACAGGATTCAGAAAGGAAGAGAGGTAGGTCAGCCATCTCCTACAGTAAGGAAGTTTCCTTCTCTCAGGTGAAAGGACAAGATGGATAGCAGGACTTGGGTGATTCTACCAGTTCACAGATGTTTTCTGTATTTCACCAAAGTAGGTCTGTTAGAGACCAACAGTCTTTCCTGGATGGGCTTACAGGATATTAGATAAAAATACAGAGTTGAAAAAGATTCATCTAGTTCTTGATGGATATACATCCCTTGTAATTGAAAATCAGTGAGCCACTGGTGTTATAGGTACTTGAGTTCAACATTCGAGTCCCATAACTGTGCTTCATTAGGTATCTAACATCTCATTCCCTACCTCTTGGGCTTACTGCATGTGGTCACCCAATAAATGTAACAGGAATGAATTAAACAAAAGAACTTTCTCATGTGATTTTTGCCAAGAGATTTGTAGATAACATTTTGCACTATTACTTGAGAAAGCAACTTAATATATTGAGTCATAGTACTGACCTTTAATACTGAAAGTCGGACACTTTACAAATGTAGTGTTTCTAAGATAGGGTCTCCATTGCTAGCATTCGATATCACACAAATATCCTGGGAAGTTCCTCTGTCACCCAGCTGCTTCCTCCTGAAAGGATTTCCCTCTTCTGTCACCTACCCCACAGCTAACATCAGCATCCCCATGTATGTAGTACTCCCTCATCCCATCTGACCTTCCTTGTCTTCTTTGTATGGCCCAGTGTATTGCTTTGTGTCCCCATCTTCCACTCCTCCCTAACTGAAACCTATTGGACCCAGTTGGAACTCATTCAGTGATCATAATTTCTTTCTTCTTCCTGCTTTGATTGACAGTTCTTTATGAGTGTCTTTCATGAGTATACCATGAATGACAATTCCACTCTTCTCATTTGCTACTTGAGGGTTGTTCCCCTGCATTTCTTCTAAAACCCAGCTGGAAAGACAGCACAGTGGGTAGGGTGTTTGCCTTGCACGTGGCCAACCCGGGTTCAATTCCCAGCATCCCATATGGTTCCCTGAGCACCGCCAGGAGTAACTCCTGAGTGCAGAGCTAGGAGTAACCCCTGTGCACCGTTGAGTATGACCCAAAAAAAGCAAAAAATAAAAATAAAACCCAGCTCTAATACTCATGACCAAATTGTCATTCACTTCCTTCGTCATCATTCATGAGTTGCTTTTTTTCCCCCATTTTGGGGTTACACCATCTTGGAGTGGTGCTCAGGGCTTACTCTTGGCCCTGCAATCGGATCACTCCTGGTGTGTCTCAGGGTCTCTATGAGATCCCAGGATCGAACTGGGGTCAGTCTTGTGCAAGAGAAATACCCTATCCTTTGTACTGTGACTCCACCCCCTATGGATTGCTCGTTTACACATCAAAGATTTTAGCTCCTCCCTCACTTCTATAATCATTTATTATAACACTTAAACACTGCATTATCCATAGAGATAATATTCTAGTAACCTGACCTCAAGGTTTCTTGGTTGCATCAAAACACTGCTCCCTTCCCTGATGCCTTTCTGTTACCAGCACCTGCAACATCATCATGTTTCAAACCTTTTCCTAAGCTAGTCAACCACATCTACCTGGATTCCAATTAGACTGACAGCCTTTTCACATGCTCAGTCTCAGCCTATGGTATATTTCCCGCAGAAAATAGAAGCAATTAGCTGAGGTTTTTCATCACATATGACTTCCTCCCCATTCTCACAGTCTTCCTACCAGAGCCTGTATGATCTAATTGGCTGTGTTGGTCCTTAAACCAGTCCCCTTTCTAACATTGCTCCCTCAATTTTCCCTTATCTCCTGGACAGTTGGGTTTCTCAACTCGATTATTTCCACTTTTTTTTTGGGGGGGGGGGCACTCAGTGATGCTCAGGGGTCACTCCTGCTCTGCACTCAGGAATTACTCCTGGCAGTGCTTGGGAGACTATAAGGAAAACTGGGAATTCAACCCTGATTGACTGTGTGCAGTGCAAGTATCCTATCCCTGCATTCTCTTCAGCCCCTCTACTGGATTATTTCTATTGTCGAAATAGACTTTTTAAAGGATTGATACCAAATCCACTTCACTCTCGCATCATTTGTGTCATTTTAGATAACAAAATTTGTCTGTACTTCCTTTCCAGGAAAAACTACATCACTGCCAGGTAACCCTATAATGTAAATTTCAGTCTGTGTGTGTTGGTGTGTGTGTGTGTGTGTGTGTGTGTGTGTGTGAGAGAGAGAGAGAGAGAGAGAGAGAGAGAGAGAGAGAGAGAAATAGGCACTGAGATTTACAATACTGATAAGAGTATCATGCAATTATAGTGTTCCAACACCATCCCCTGCAATAGTGTCCCCCTTCTCAGTCCCCACCCCATTATTGTTCTTTTCTCTTGAATATCATTAGCATCTTCCCCTTTTTTCTTGTTTTTTTTTTGGGGGGCACACCCTGCTGTGCTTACTTCTGCTTCTGGCTTTGTGCTCAGGGATTACACCCGGAAGAGCTAGGTGGGTCATATGAAGTAACTGGAATTATTGAATTTAGCTGTGTCATGGCAAGAAGTGCCTTCTCCACTATGCTATCTCTTTGGCCCCTTCAGTTCTGGGTCATTTGCTGCTGGAAACATTATTCAGCTGACTTTCAGGACTTTGCTGCCTAGCTAGCCTCCAGTCAGGCTATCTTTGCTGTTTTCTTTCAACCTAAATTATCTCACTCTCGGGAGTGCACATTCATATCTGCCCAAACATTTTTTCTGGTTTCAGAGACTGAACCCAGCCAGGCTGCTTATACTCTTCATAGTCACATAAAAAAAATCTCAAGGCTTTAAAAACTAGCAGTACAACTGAAACTTTTAAAGATAACTGTGATGTTTTTAGAAATTATTTACAGCTGTATTACAAGGGTGCTTACTACTACAATAAAAATAGAGAAGACTTGTGTATTTTTCCCTCATCTGGTGGTTTTCAGGGCTTATCTCTCTTTTTTATATTAAAACTAATAACCTTTATTGTGGCATTTAAAAAATTTTATAGGTTAGTTCACAATATTTGATTACATTTAATATTCAAACATCAATCCCGCCACCATTACACCTTCCCACCACCAAGTTCGGGATGTTTCCATCTCAGGGCTTATCTCTGTTCAGTGATTATTCCTGGCAGTGCTGGAAGAAGGCTGTCAAACCAGGGCCAGCCAGGACCAGCCATGTTCAAATTAAGTTTGGCTCTTCAATAAATAGTACTTGTTCTTCTCTTGAAAGTTCTTAAGTTAAACTCTACATTCCCGAATTGTGGGTAACCACCCATCTGCATTACCCACTACGTATTACAGTTGTCTTAATTTGGGGGCCAGAGAGATAGGTAAGGCACTTGCCATTATGAAGTCAATACAGGTTCAATCCCTGTCACCATGTCACCAAAATATGGTCCCTCAAGCCCTGTTAGGATTGAACCATGAACACAGCCAGTAGTGAGCCCTGAGCACAGTGGAGTGTTGCCCAAAAACAAAGTTGTCTTTTTTTAATTTTAAATATATTTGGGCTGTACTTGGTGCTCAAGGCTTACTCCTGACTCTTGAGCTCAGGGATCACTCCTGGTGGTATGCTGGGAACCATATGGAGTGTAGCATATTGAACCTGGTTCAGCTGCATGCAAGACGTGATATCTTATTTGCTGTACTATCTCTCTGATCCAAAGGGTTTTTTTAAAATAGAAATAGAATCAATATCCTAATAACACTAACTTTTGTGTCTGCGTTCTTTGTTCTTTGAGAGTTATTAGTGCTGTCCTCCCATTGTTCATCGATTTGCTTTAGCAGGCACCAGTAATGTCTCCATTGTGAGATTTGTTACTGTTTTTGGCATATCAAATATGTCACGGGTAGCTTGCCAGGCTTTGCCATTGAGAATTATTGTATGGCATATGTGCCATATTACATGGCATCCCTTTCCTCATGTAGAGTTACATTACGTGCCATAATTAGTTGTTGCATTCATCTTTTTTAAATTTTGTTTTTGGACTATACTCAGCTATGTTCAGGGCTTAAACTTGGCCCTGTACTCAAAAGTCACTCCTGGTTGTATTTAGGAGATTGGGGCCAAACTTTGAACTTGTTTGCTGTATACAAGGCAAGTTCCCTATGCCTTATATTGTCTCTGTCCCCTGATCATCTTTTGATGTTCATGAAGTTGTTTCCAGTTTTGGTTCTTGTAAATGTAGCTACTGTGGGCATTCTATAAGGCTTTTATGCAAGTTTTCATTTATCTTTGGTTAAAAACTGGTTATGGAATAACTGGATTGTTTTGTAAGTAGGAGATAAACTGGGGCAGGGTATGACTGGGTAATGTCCTTTAACCTGAGATCTTTAATCTGCTTTAACTTCTGTGAAACTGATTATTTTAAAATATTTCATCCCTTCATTGAAAAATTGTATTTATCAGCCTCTTATTCAGATGTTAATCATCTATATCTATTTGTATATCCTACTTTTCCTTTTCTGTTTTCTCATTAACTTTTTGCTATGTTTGACTATTTCCTCAATTTTCTTCCAGTTTGCTATTTTGTTCCTCAGTTATTTACTCCCTCTATTGTGATTTGATTTTTTAACAATTGTTTGATATTCTTAATCTTTTTACAATGTGCTGTTGTTTCCTGTTTTTAATATAGTTATCTCTTTAAGTGTATTTAATCAGCTGAGACACACTTGGTTCATGTGTTCTAGAGTCTTTGTTTATGATGGAGTCTGTAACCCAGTATGTTACTGTTCTTTTGAACTAGTCTGCTCCAAAACTTGCCTATTTTTGACCATTGTATACATTTTCCTTGGGGTTACTGCCTACTCCCTTCATTGCCTCCATGTGTTAACATGAGATCCAGCTCCTGCAACCCCAGTGGGTTCAGGGTTGACTGATGGATTCAGGAATAGTGAAGTTGACTTAGGAAGGACTATCTGGGGAGATGAAACTAATCCTTAAATCTGTCAATGACCAGAAACTAGCCATGAAACTCAGCATCATTTCTATTGCTGAAACTCTTTCTCTTGGTCTCTCTCTTCCTCTCATCCACCCCCCAGGTACAATTCCTGGCTCTTTGCTCATGGATCACTACTGGTGGGGCTTGGGAGACCCTATGTGGTGCTGGAAGATTAAACCCAGGTTGACTGTGTGCATCCCTTGGCACCTCAGAATGCCCCAAACACCACTAGGAGTGGCCCCTGTACACATCACCAAGCCCAGTGCTCTCCCTTCCCATCCCCTGCACTACAGACCCCTGGGCCGGTGTATGACTTGCACATGCCTTATTTTCAATCAGTTCCTTATAGATTCTTGAACTCCTGGAAGTGGATGCCTTGTGGGGCCTGATATGGTTTAAAACACAAGAGGAGGGAAGCCAGCTCAGCCCACGGCCCAAGCACACCTGCCAGGGATTCAATCTCAGCCCTTGTAGCAATGAGGGACATCAAAGGAGAAGGTGATGATACTCCAGGCTTGTTTCATGGGTACTAAAGTGCCAGTCCAAGCATCTTCAAAGGGTGCTGGGATAAACAGACATATAAAGTTTGACTATGTGGTAATACTGAACTTTACCTCTAGGTTTCAGAAAAGTAAGGATTAAATTCCTCCAGACTTCTGTGTTTAAGGTTTACGTCAAAGGATTGCCCTTTTGCAGTTGACAGGTAAGTCTCTCTAAGTTTCTTTCATTTCACATAGCACAGAGCTACATACAGACTCCAGTATTCAGTCAGAGCAAAAGATTGGTAAATTGATTTTATCAAACTTTTGTTAAGTGTCTTCCCTCTCCAAAGATCCCTGAATTTTGACACCTTCTTAAGGTTAAATGAGTATTAAAATGCACAACAAACTCCTTCTCAAGAACCAGCTGATTTCAAGGTCTCTCCTGTACCTCTGAAGGCAGGTCATCCCCACCACACACTCCACTCCCTCTTCCTTCCTGTTCCTTTCACTGCTTTGAAAATTCTGTTGGGACAGCGAGAATAGTTCAGTGGTCATAGGGGCTTGCTTCCCCTAGTGTGAGCCTGGCAGACCCTGGCTCCTCTGGGATTGCTGGTGGTCCCTGGAACCTCAGGGCTGGAGTAGTTTCACATCCTTGGGCCTTAGCCTTGAGCAGCCTGGCCTAAGCAGCCTACTATCACTGGAGTGACCTTTGGGTCCCCTGAGCACTGTTTGCAAGACTCTAAGAAATTTTTTTAAATAGGGTTGGAGAATACAAGGGATAGGGCTCTTGACTTCCATGCTGCTGACCCTGGTTCTAGTCCTCAGCACTGCCACGGATAACTTCTGAACTCAGCCAGGAGTAATCCCCAAGCATAACCAGGTATGGCCTTCAAATACCTACAAAAAATGCTGTTTTGGGGGGTGGGGGTGACACCCAGAGCTTACTCCTTTCTCTGCTCAAGGATCTCTTGGCACTAGTCAGGGGACTATATGTGGTACCGGGGATTAAACTTGGGTCATTTGTGTGCAAAGTAAATGCCTTAACCTCTGCACTATCTATTTGGGTCTCCCAAAATGCTTTTTTTTTTTTTTTTTTTTTTTTTGGCGACACAAAATGAAACTTACTGAGATGTGGGCAGAGGAAAAACACAGAGAAGTGTGTATTCAAGACGCTTTTCCAGTGAAAATAAGCAAGCAAAGAAATAGACAAGCAAAGAAGCAAAGAAATTCAAGCAAGGGAGATACATGTTGAAGGGAGAATAAGGGCTTGAAAAGTAGGTCCCAGAATGCTTTTAAAATAAAATTAGTTCATTTCTTAAGGTCTTGAGAGAGAGAGAGCACAAAGGGATGGAGTGCATGTTCTGTGTATAAGAGGCTGGAGTTCTAGCCCCAAAACTATAAAGTATCCTAAGCATGGCTGGGAACAATGATTTAGGCGTAATCCCTAAGAACTGCTGGCTGTGGCCTAAAAACCAGAAAAAGAAAATGCGCTTCTGCTTGACCTTTGAGTTGTTTGAGATTTTACTCTTTTCTGACCATAGCAGTTTGTGTGAATAAAGTCTTTCTCTAAGGTTGACTTGGTTTGTTCTGTAAATGTTGGCTTCCAACTTGTTGGATATATATTGACCCTAAGTGTTTTAGGCTTCATCAGTGAGTTGCCTCTTTTTCTCCTTCCAGAGAAGTTAACTGTGCTCTTACAAGCACCCCTGGTCCCCTGAGTTTATCTTTAACCTTTCCTTTGTGTTTTACATCTCATCGTTATAGTTCCCCTTAGTCAGTCTTGGTTACTTACAAGCCAAAACTTTCTGGTAATTCTGGATTTTGTATTTGTAGTGAATTACTTGCTTTTCTATTTCCCCTATAGCCTTTTTATATTTTACTATAGAGCAGTGCTCTTTGCTTAAACACAGAAAGACTGTGAGTACTATGTTCCTAATATTTGGGAGTTGATTGATTCTGAAATATATCTATTTCTGGGCATCTGTCATAATTACTTGACTCAGGCTTCAGTTGCCGTAGTTCCTAACACCCCAAAAAGGAGATCCCATCATAGGACTGGGATGGATCTGGGGCAAGCGGTGAAGCTACCCCAGCATTGAAATGGGACAGTCTAGAAAGCATAAATGCGTGGTCTTGACGGAAACCATTTTGACTTAAGAGACAGGACCCCCATGGGGAAGGACAAGCTGGACCAGCCTGAGGACTTATTCTGGAATTTATGGTAAAAGCCTTGCTTTCCCTCAGAGCTCACAGAACTAAGTTTTGAAACCTTTATCTCTTACCCTGTTTATCCAAATAAGTGCAAGTATTAAGAAGTAAACTTAATTGTTTAATATGTACAACTAGAGGGAAAGCGAAAAGCAACTTAGATGTCTCTAGGAGACAGTGTCTCCTTGAGTTAACCACTCCAAGAGAATTTCCTCCACCAAAATGCTTTACCTCTGTAAAGGATCAATCACACCTACGTGTAGTCCTATACCTCAAACCCCTTCAGATATTCTTTAAATATGCTAACAACTCTGCATTAAATGGGCCATTTTTACCATCTGTCCATGAGTCCCCCATCTTTTTGTTCCTCTCCTGGAGAAGCCTGGGGAGGCAGCTTCCAGCCACCGAATGCACGTGTCCTGCACCCATAATTTGAACTCACACCAGCTAGGGTTCTGGGTTTAGTCAGGAGGCACAGCTGTGGAGCTGGATAGTACAGTGGGTAGGGCATTTGCTTTGTATGTGGCCAACCTGGGTTCGATCCTTGGCATCCCACATGGTCTCTGAGCACTGCCAGGAGTGACTCCTGCCAGGGGTAACTCCTGAGCATTGCTGGGTGTGACCCCACCCCACACCAGAAATAAAAATACAACAAAAAAGTAGGCACAGCTATAAGGCCTGGCTTCTACCAAGGCCTGGTGACCTGCCTAATAACCACAGGGAAGCTGTTTTTGGGACTAAAATGGCCACACCTTGGAGTTACTCCTGGCTTTGCACTCAGGAGTTACTCCTGACAGTGCTCAGGGGACCATATGGGACACTGTGACTGAGCACAGGTGAGCTACATTTGCAAGGCATGCGCCTTACCTCTGTACTATCTCTCCCACCCCTAGGAAGGCTGTTTTTGTGCTAAGATGCTCTGGGGACACAGACCTGGCTAATGCTTTATTTTATTTTCCCCAATCCTTTGGTCTCCCTGGCTAGCACTTTAGCCAGGACAAAAAATGGGACCAAAAAAATGAACCAAAGGACTGAGCGCAGACTTTGCATATAGGAGGTCTGGCGTCAATCTCTGGCACTGCAAGGTCCCCAAGACGTGACTCTTAAGCAGGGAGTAACCCCCAGTGTCCTTTAGGTGTGACCCAAAGTTAAAAACAAAATGGTCCCTATGTAGGAAATGAACTGATGTAGACAACTGCGACTACATGGCATGAAGATGACCACAACACTGCTTGACTACACGGACCAGTGCATCATGTACAGAGAAGATGTGAAAGGGGAGGGAAGTGATGGACCCTACAGACTCAGAGCTTTGTAAACCTCGAGAGCCTCAAAGCCACACAATCAGAAATCCCAAAAGAAATTAATGGCAGCAGAACAATTGGAGTCCATGATGAATATGTGTGAGTCAGCAGCAGGAGAGAAGGGGCGGTGAGCCTCTCAAGAAGGAACACACTCGGATAAGGTGCTGGCCATGCATGTGGCTGACCTAGGTTTGATCCCCAACATTCTATATGGTAACCCAAGCACTGCCAGGAGTAAATCCTGAGCACAGATCTAGGAGTAACCCCTGATATTGCCTGGTATGGTCCAAAAATCAAACTTCACCACCAATGATATAGACTCCAGGTGAGACCCAGACAGGGTGTCTCAGCATCAAAGGCCAGAGGAGGACTTGCATGGAAAGCCACGTTCCTCAATGCTGAGAAGGCAGCAGCTCTACAACAGGGCTGTAGAAAAGCTGAAACTAACTGGAGCACAGAGGAGATCCTGAGAATATCTGTCACACTCTCCACACAAAGGAGAGGCCTGACATCTGTAAACATATTTTCCATGCAAGAGAGATAAATCATATCTGCACTCACATTCTCCACACAGGGGACACCTCACATCTGCACTCATATTCTTCACACAGAGGAGATGCCTCACTGAATTCACATTCTCCATGTAGAGGTGATACCTGACATCTGCACTCATTCCCCGCATAGAGGATATGCCTGATGTCTGCACATTCTCTGTAGAGGAGAAACCCGCCATCTCCACTTACATTCTCCATGCAGAGGAGATATATGACATTTGCATACATATTCTCCATGCACAGGAGATACCTCACATCTGCACTCACATTCTCCACACAGAGGAGACACGTCACAAGTACCCTCACATTCTCCATGCTAAGGAGGAACTGCACATTCTCCACACATCCATCGCTAGCAAGCACATAGCAGAGCAGGGTCTCCTTGGATTCGACAAGAGCTTCATGTGCTCCAGCCCTTTGAGCTATTTTCCTATCCCAAATATTGAGAAAAGTCAAGTGTCCTTTTGGGGTATTTAGTGCAAGTGGAACCGATTCCTAAACCCACAAGGGCTTTCTACACATTAAAGATCTTATGGACCTTTATTGTTCTTGTATGAGGTTGAATAGAAATGTGCCATTGATTGTATAATTACTGGGTAGATGAACTACCTGGCAAGGCGTCTTCTGTGCCTTTTAATTTCCAATCCATTTTCCACATTTCCAGGCGATTCCATCAATATCCCTTTAATAAGCTTTCAGACATCCTCTAGGACTGGGTTTCTGAAGAATGCTAAATTGCTTCCTGTAACAATTGTCTTTTATAAACAAGGAAATGGAAGTTTAGAGGTTAAATAGTTGAATAAGTTCAAACATCTGGGAACTAGAGATCAGTGTGAATAACATTTGTGCTACAAAGTCTGGCTGCTTACATGTTTGCTGCTTATGATGTTTGATTCACATCAAATTATAATATTTTTCTGCCTCTTCACCAGGGCTCTGCCCTTTTGTTCTGTCCTCCCAACTAGTTTATTTGTTCCATGAAGAATGCATGTGGCAATGGGAGCTGACCTCACAGTGGCAGCTCCAAGTCAGAACCCAAACATTCCATAAGCAGCAGTGCTGTTAGTTCTCTGGAGAAATATAGGACAGAGGTTGGACTATAGATAAATATGTTCTTTCCTCCATAAGACAAAAGACTTAACAATTTTGTAATGATAGACAAGGCTCAAATTTCTTGTATCTTCTTATCTTTGTTTTTAATTCAATTCCCACTTTGTTTTTGCTTGCTTTATGCAGGTGAGTTCAAACAAGTTTGATAAATAATAGGCCTAAGGAAAAATTTTTTCATTTGTTTCAGGGAAAGTGCAAAAAGGGGGGTATAATTATTTCACTGCTAAAAGTTTTCTTTTCAAGGCTTCAAGCACTCACAGTTACCTGCAAATGTCTCCAAACCTTCACTGAAAAAGGAACATCACTTGTCTCAAATTCAACTGACTTCCCCATTGCACAGAGGTAAATCACTGTGGTATCCACAAAGAGGGTGTGGGGAATAAAGACCCCTGCTTCGAATATCAAAGTCCTATCTAATTTTTTTGGTGTGGAGAGTAGCTTGGAGGACACCTGGAGGTGCTTAGGGCTTCCTCCTGGCTCTGCAATCAGGGATTACTCTTGGTGGGACTTGGGGGACCATATGGGGTCCCATGGATCAAACCGGGATGAACCATCAGCAAGGCAAGTGCCTTAACACCTGTATTATTGTCCAAAATATTGTGAGTGGCACACAAACCCTAGGACAGCCCTAGGAAGGGAAAGTGCAGGGTTTATTGAAGAAAGTTCAGTTTCACTCTCCTCTAAGAGAGGAGTGAAGTAGTCCATGCTCCAGTTCTACACTGTTATTTCTCACCCCTGGGGGTGACACCAGAATGGGGATGTGTGACAACTCCAGTATAGAATGTGCTCCTTGCTTTTGTAATGTTGAGTTTTTATTTTGCTCCATACTGCCTCAGCTTTGATCTGAGGGTCATTCATTGCGAGACAGCTGTAAAGAAAAAGGAACCTTGAGTTTTGCAGCTATTGGGTTGTTCCCCTTAGTCACACCAGCCACATTCTTTTTTTTTTTTTTTTTGCCCATATTTACCCCAGGCTTATGCTCCTCCAGGCTGGAATGATAGCACAGCAGATAGGGTATTTTGGAGAAACGCCGACTGATAAACAATATATACATATGATCATTTATTTATAAGATGTAGATCAATTTACGAGAACACATCCATGCTAAATCATCGTACCACACTAGGACTGAGAACAGGAAGTGTTGCTAAATGGAGGGGGGAGGCAGAAGTAGACTGTGTGATCTTAGATCTTGAGTCTGAACCATGGGCAGGAAGGACAAAAGGGTATTTCAGCACGAACCAGAGCCAGGATTCGGAAGAAAAGGAAGCACCTCCCTTGGGCAGAACTGGAGGAGCTGATCAAAAATCATGGAATGGCCTGTCCCTCTTGGAGAGCCCCACAAACTACGAGAGTATCCCGCCCGCACGGCAGAACCTGGCAAGCTCCCCATTGGGTGTTTGATGTGCCAAAAACAGTAACAACAAGTCTCATAATGGAGACATTACTGGTGCCTGCTCAAGCAAATCGATGAACAACAGGAGGACAGTGCTACAGTGGGTCACACTCAGGGATGCACTGAGGTTACTCCTGGCTCATGCACTCAGGAATTACTCCTGGCAGTGCTTGGAGGACCAATGGGATGCTGGAAATAGAACCCGGTTCAGCCGCGTGCAATGCCCTACCCACTGTGCTATTGCTCCAGCCCCACCAGGCACTTTTTTTTGTTGTTGTTTGTTTTTTTTGCTTTTGGGGTCACACCTGGTGATGCACAGGGGTTACTCCTGGCTCATGCACTCAGGAATTATTCCTGGCGGTGCTTGGGGGACCATATGGGATGCTGAGAGTCGAACCCCCAGGTCAGCCACGTGCAAGACAAACGACCTCCCCACTGTGCTATCACTCCAGCCCCACCAGGCACATTCTTGACCTCAGGTTTTTGAGCTGGTGGCTGCGTGATTCGTTTTCAGAATATATTTTGTTTCTCGTGGGATGGGGTTGGAGGGTGGGAGGGACACTGGGATCCGTGGTGGTTGAAACCCAAGCACAAAAATTTGTAAGTCTACAACTGTACCTCATGGTGTCTCACTAATAAAGGCCGTAAAGGCCCTCCCGTTGATCGTCGATTTGCTCGAGCGGGCCCAGTAACATCTCCATTGGAGACCTTGTTGTTACTGTGTCTGGCATATCGAATACTCTCGGTAGCTTGCCAGGCTCTCCGAGAGGGGCGGAGGAATCGAACTCGGGTCGGCCATGTTGGCCGCTTGTAAGGCGAACGCCCTACCCACTGTGCTAAAAAATTTTTAAAAAAGAATATATTTTGTTTCTCAAAAACAATTTTGGTGTTCTATTGTTATTTTTTTTTTGGCTTTTGGGGTCACACCCAGCCATGCTCAGGGGTTACTCCTCGCTCTTCATTCAGGAATTATTCCTGGCAGTGCTTGGGGGAACCACATGGGATTCTGTGGATCGAACCTGGGTTGGCCGCATGCAAGGCAACGGCCGTACCTGCTGTACTATCACTCTGGCCCTGGTGATTTATGTTTTTTTCTCTCCCTGAAAATTGCCAGCTTCAATTGTATTACTCATTCAGTGAAACATGAACTATATACTGGGGTTTTCTTATCTACTGTATGAATGTAGTAAATATTCTATATTTACTGATGACATGGTTCGCAAAATAATATTAAAGTGTTTGAAAATTAAATTTTGTGGGTGGGTAGGGCCCTTACCTTGCATGGCTGACTTGAGTTTGATCCCCCGGCACCATATATGTTCCTGGGAGCCCTTACAGGTCAGATCCCTAAGCTCAGAGCCAGGAGTAATCTCTGGGCATGGCCAGCTGCGATGAACACCCCAAAAATTAAATTTTGTATTCTGCATTCTCTGAAAGCTATAGGAGTAGAAATAATTAAGAATTGCCACTTCTTTTTCATTTCAGTTAGTACACACAAAATCCCAGAACTCAGCCAAGATGGATAAGACAGAACAGCAGGGCAAAGTACTTGCTTTGCAGGCAGCTGACCTATGGTCAATCTCCAGTTCCACATAAGGTCATCTGAGCATTGCCACTGGCTAAAACAACAACTACAACCCAAACTGCCTTAAATTCCTCCAGATTCTATGAACATGTTTGCATATTTGTATGATTTATGTAATCTGGGGTATCTGTTTTAGTGACAGTACACATGAATGCAGACACAGATGCTTTGATGTGTGAAGCATTTAGAATGATAATCTGAGTTTTGTGATTTTCATTTTTAATCCACAGAGAACTCAATCTCACAAAAGAGGAGCTTTATAATCTGTAACACCAGGTAGCCACTCTTTCTTTATAAGATAGCAAATAAATAAAAGCCACTCTTTATCCGAGGTGATCACTGAGCGCAGAGCCAGAAGGAAGTCTTGAGCACCATCAGGTATGACCAACACTCCCCGCCCCCCCAAAAAAAGAATAAAAGTGAGGAAAGTTCAAGTGTGAGAAGAAAAATGGCTTTTTCAATTACCAGCTACTATAATCAATTACCAGCTACAACAGGACAAATAATCTACAAAATGCTCATTTATTTGTTTTAAGTTTCAAATGACATACCTGATCCTTCAAAGAACCATGATGTTACGGTACAGGACATGGCCCCAAACACTGGCTCCTGGAATTCAGGTGAGTGGACTTGCAGCCTCAGTTCTTCTGTAGCATATTGTTACTATACACTATCCAATCTGAGACCATAACAGGGCCACAGGACTCGGACAGCTGAGGTCTCTCTCCTCTTACTGATAAAGATAGCAGGAGTTGTGCAATAGACGTGAGCAGAGGGCTCTAACCAAGATCAGGAAGCAGATGGGAAAAAGGAATCAGGAATTAAATGGGAATTCAAATTGTGTCTATTCACACTGGCTTCACACTTGTTTGTTTGCTCTTTTTCTTGGCTGTGCAATCTAGCATCTGCAGTTTTTAAAAATTAGAAATAGGACTGGGCTAGAGAGAGAGACCAGCGGGAAGGTTCGTGCACACAGCCCAAACGTAGTTCCATCCCCAGCACCACATATGGTCCTCCAAGCCCACCAGGAGTGATCTCTGAGTGCAGAGCCAGGGGTAATCCCTGAACATTGCTGGGTGTGGCCTAAAATCAAAATAAATAATAAAATTTAAAAATTATATCCTTAGTGTATTTATGATATTGTCTCTCATTTGCCTTTGGAATACAATATTAGAAGATATGTGAACCAGTAGATACATCTTTTTCTTTGTTTTTTACAAAAACGTCTTTTCTTTAAATTGTAGCAATGATTCCACATAGACCTGCTCTTGTTCAAGTAATGGTAATCGCATGCATAGCTTTGACCGTTGCCCTGATATGTGGTATCACATTTTCATATATTATATAGTAAGTATATGCTAAGTAACATTTACTACTGTGAAGTCAGATATAGCAAATTAACTAGGCTCTTTTTGTTGTTTTATCTTGGATCACACCCAGTGATGTTCAGGGGTTACTCCTGGCTCTGCACTCAGGAATTACTCCTGTGGTGCTCGGGGGACCATATGGGAAGCCAGGAGTCAAACCTGGGCTGACCATATGCTAGGCAAGCACCCTACCTGCAGTATTCTCTCTCCAACCCCTGTGCTCTCATCTTTAATGATAATAATAATCCTTATAATCACTAAATTTCCAGGTCACTATTTTTAGAATGTGGACTTTATACTCTTTTTTTTTTGGCTTTTTTTTGGGGGGGAGGGGGTCAAACCCAGTGATTCTCAGGGGTTAGATCTGTTTCTGCACTTGGGACTTACTCCTGGTGGTGCTTGGGGACCATCTGGGATTCCAGAGATCAAACCCAGGTCAGCCTTGTGCAAGGCAAACACTCTCCCTGCTGTCCTTCCCGCAGAACACGGACTTTATACTCTTGTTGGGTTGGATGTGAACAAAGGGGAGGAAGAGAGAAGACTGGAGAGCACATACTTTGTGTTCGGGAGGCTGAGTTCCACCCCTGCACCTGTGTGCCCAGCATGTGCCCCAGCCCTGTTCCATGATTTTTGATCAGCCCCTCCAGTTCTGCCCAAGGGAGGTACTTCCTTTTCCTCCAAATCCTGGCTCTGGTTCATGCCGAGATACCCTTTTGTCCTTCCTGCCCACAGTACAGACTCAATATCTAAGATCACACAGTCTACTTCTGCCTTCCCCCTCCACTTAGCAACACTTCCTGTTCTTCAGTCCTAGTGTAGCACGATGATTTAGCATGGACATGTCTTCGTAAATTGATCTACATCTTATAAATAAATAATCATATGCATCTATATTGTTTTTCAGTCGGCTGGTACAATCTGAGGAAAGACAAAAACTCATACTGCTCTATAAAAATGTCAGGATACCTCCATTAGGGGAGGAAGAGGAATCTGAGGAAGAGAGCCAGGGGGAGTCAAATTACCTACTTCCAGAAAATGAGAAGGAGCTGGAAAAGTTCATTCATTCAGGTAAAGGACCAGTCTTATTAATGCTAGTTCTAAAGTCATGTGAAAGCTGAGCTGGTAGTGATGGTTTGATTTTTCTTCTTTTATGTTTCTGGGCCAGGGATGCAGCTCAGTGGTAGGTCACTTATCTCACAGGCCTCAGAGTAGCTAAGCACAATTCTTTAAAAATTGAAGTCCTAGGAGATGGAGTGATAGTATAATGTGTAGGCACTTGCCTTGTCTTATATGTGGCTGCCTCAGGTTCGATTTCTGGCATCTCCCTTTAGTCCCCCGAGCACCGTCAGGAGTGATCCCTAAGAACAAAATCATGAATAAGCTCTGAGCACTGCCCTATGTGTCTTCAAAACCACAAATAAATACATAAATAACTTAAAGTGAACTGTTCTCATTAAGCCATGCAGAGTGGCACGTACAGTATGGTTGCTTGACTCCTGTTTCAGTGCAGGCCCAAAGGCTGAAAAGAAGTTCAGGAAACAAACCTTTTCCCAGACAAGACACTTCTCTTAAACATTTTTATTAATATGTTGTGTTGTTTTTAAGCATAGTCTATAGACAGCAGATAGCTGCCTCCATCTAATGTGGAAACAACCAAACAAAACAGAAGCCGCTACCCCCAAATCAAAAAGCCTGATTGGAGAAATGCCTGTTGTGCTTGTGACGGAGATTGTAAACTTGTGCTATGCTGTGTAAACTTGATGATCTTAGATTATTGGGTAACAATTCAAAACATTCTAGAACAAAAATATGTAGAGTCTGAAGAGATAGTTCAGAGGAAAGGCACTTGCACATAGCTGAGCTGGATTCCATCCCTGACACCACATTACCACATATGGGCCACTGAATACTGCCAGGAGTGATCACTGAGCACAGAGGTAATGTATGGCCCAAAAGCGAGAGAGACACAGAGAGAGAGACAGACAGACAGACAGACAGGACAGACAGAGACAGACAGAGAGAGGAGAATGCTGAGGGAGGGGGCTGGGGAGAGAGCTCTGGAGTAGGCTGAAATGCAAACTTTGCATGTAGGGGGCCAGGGTTGGTTTCTTTGTTTTTTGGGCCACACCTGACCATGCTCAAGACTTACTCCTAACTCTGCACTCAGGAATCACTCATGGTGGTCTTTGGGAGACAGGGGTTCTGGGGGTTTAACCTGGGTTGGTTATGTGCACTGCTGTACTATACCTCTAGCCCCAGGAAATCTGGATCTGATCCCTGGTATTGCATGGTGCCCAGCACCTCCAGGAATGACCCCAGAAGCACCACGAGGTGTGACCCCAAAACAAACACCCAAAAGGGGGATGAAAAGAGAGAACAGGAAAAGTCTTAAAATTGTCTTCAAGATTGATACAAGTCAAGGAAGATTTGGGTAGTGGCGACTCAGGCAGTGGGGGTGAACTCTTGAGAGTCTTGGACAGGCCAATGAGGGCTTCAGATCAGACTGCCCATTAGCAGGCCCTGTGTTAAGTAAAATGACCTGCTTCTGTACCCACTGTGCTATGAGTCATAAAGAAAGGCCTCGGCGGAAAGGCTACATTAAGGAAAATAATTTTAAAATTTAATTTTTACCATCCATTATTAGTTAATAGAACCCAGTATACTCTTTGTGTGTGTGGTGGGGGGCATGCCTGGCGATGCTCAGGGTTTACTTCTGGCTCTTCTTTTTGGAATTACTCCTGGTGGTGCTCAGGAAACCATATGAGATGCTGGGGATCTAGCAAGCACCTTACTTGCTTACTCCAGCCCCAGAATACATTAGATTCTGAGAATAAAAACCCTCACTATTTGTACCTTTTTTCAACCATACTTTTTTTTTCTCCTCCCTGAACCATTTTTTGGATGAGGGTGTTTGGCCTTACTCTTGGTTCTGTACTCAAGGATAACTCCTGGAGATCTAAAGGGAGCAAAGATTGAGCTAATGATTGAATTGGGATCATCTGCATGCAAGGCCTTACCCCCTCTACATTCTCTCCGGTCCCTTTTTCCTCTTTTCTCCATTTATATTTATCATTTATAGTAACTCAATGGGCCGGAGTGATTGCATAGTGGGTAGGGCATTTGCCTTGCACGTGGCTGACCCAGGTTCAATTCCTCCGCTCTTCTCAGAGAGCCTGGCAAGCTACCGAGAGTATTCTGCCCTCACAGCAAAGCCTGGCAAGCTACCCATGGCGTATGGAGACATTACTGGTGCCCGCTTGAGCAAATCGATGAACAACGGGAGGACAGTGGACAGTGCTACCTATAGTAACTCAATAACATTTGTCTGTATTTTAGTTATTAGATCAAAAAGAAGAAAGCACAAGGAAAAAAAAGGATTAGAGGAAGAGAAAATGAACGTTATGACACCATCAGCAGGGAAATCTAAGTACAGTGCAAGAACTGGGGATCTGTGAAAACAAGTAAGTGATGCAAGACATGCTAGCCAGTATGGAGAGGTGGACAGCCCACTGACTAATGACTGAGACCATAGATACTTCCTCCCAGAGAACCCTGTCTTGGAGATTCTAAAGAAAGGTGATCTTAGATGACCGAAAATAAATTCCTGTGACATAGCAGTTCTTTCTCCTCAGCTCCCAGAGTTTATTATTAAATATTATTTATTGGAAAATAGAAAAACCCAACTTTGCAAGTGTGAAAGATGAATTATCAATTTGTTTTCTTATACCTAACTAGGAACAGACCATGTTGAGAATGGAACCATTAAACACAACTTTCCCAGATAGAGATATTACAAGGATTCGGGTGCTGACCCCAGTTCCATCCCTGGCACTTCATATTGTTGCCTTTCTCAGGCCCCTTGATCTGTCCAACTTAGCTCTTAAAGAAAAGGCTCAGTCTCCAGAAATCTGAGGACAACAGCATACTTACATACAATACATACAGAGTATGCACACCAGCCCTTTGTGTGATAGACTCACTTCCTCTTTATTTTTTAAAATTAATTTTATTTCTTGGAGCTACACCTAGCAGTGCTCAGGGATTACTCCTGGCAGTCTCAGGGAACCGTTTGGGATGCCAGGGATCAAACCCAGGTAGGCCGAGTGCAAGGCAAGCAAGCACCTTACCAGGTCTTATCACTCTGGTGCCTAGTCAAAGATATTTATGTATTTTGCAATTGTGTGTACTGAACATAGGGCCTCACTCAGGCTCTAGCACTGAGCTACACCCGTGGCTCAAATATAAATTTCAATATAAAATGCACGTTTTAGTCATTAAATAACCAGAATGAATGTGCAGTTGGGTTCGCAGCCACTTAGAACACCCGAAAAAATCAGTTTAGCGTCTGCACACACATTGTTCTGGGTGATGGGTTCTGACAGCATTCCCATGGAGACAGTTCCTTTAAGAAGAATCTAAGTCCCTCCAAGGCTGGGCCCCAGGGGCTGGGGTGAGGCTGGAAGGGCTTGGCTTAAGCACGGCAGAAACAGTACTCTGAAACTACATTAACCCCAAGGCCCCACAGCAGCGGGGGCTGAAGCTCCTCGGCCTTGGTGGGGTGGGGTCCTCGGTGTGTCCTCCCAGCCTAGGCTCGGGTGCGCCTAGGCAGACGCAGTCCTCGGCCCACTGCAAGTCTGGGCCCTGCTGCTCGACGGGTGCGTCGGGGCTCAGTGCAGGTAAAGGCTCGTGCTTTGGGCCTCCACTCAGTGCCCCAAGTCCTTGAAGGCGCCACAAGGGCCCAGTTGGCGGCAGCAGGAGCGGGAGCCCGGTACAGACCCCCTTGAGGCCGCAGGAGGCGCAGAGCGACCCTCCCCAGTCCCAGGCCGCGGCTCCCTGATCTTGCCAATAATACCCCTCAGCGGGTAGCTGTGACTCTGTTTCCCCCTGGCTCCTGAGCCCCGCTGGGTCTCGTCTGTGTGTCCCCGTTACCAGCACCTTGTGGCTCTGGGGCCGAATCAGCGTTTGGGGTGCGGGGAGTGAGGGAAGCACCCTGGCTCCGTCCTGGGCTGCACATGGACTGGCCCTGTCACACCGGAGTCCCACGGGCCACACTGTTCTGAGTTGACTAATCCTGCTTTGTTTGGAGGCCCCACCAGGCAGTGCTCTGGGCTTACTCCTCAGGGATCACTTCTGATAGGACTCCGGGGGCTCTTTGGGGTGCGGGAGTTAGAATTCTGTATTTTCGATCAGCCCCGGGACTTGGGCTTTCAAGAGGATGACTGTCTCTAGTCTTGTGCAGATTTAGGGGCCTCAGTGACCCCAGAGCAGGACAGGTGGAGAAAGCTCAAATGAGAAGTGTTCGTGGCAGTCGCAGGAGCTTTGGTCCTCTCACACCAGTGCCACATTTCTGACTCCCCAAAACATAAAAATTCACAGTATCGGGGCCTGAGCAGATAGGACTTACTCGTAGCTCTGTTCTCAGGGGTTACTCTGGGTTCTGTGTTCAGGGATAACTCCTGGCGGTGTTCAGGGGACCACATATTGTGCCTGGGATTGAACTTGGCCAGCTATAAGCTAGGCAAGCACTCTACCCATGATGTCTTGTCAGTGAACACATCCTTCAACACAGGTGTGTTGTGGGAAAGTCAGGTGTCACATTGAAGTGGAAACTGGCCAAGGGTACTGGGACTCTACACAGATTCTATGTCCTGAGCCAGTTTTTACCTCCAAGCTTGGGAGGAGATTGGGCAAGTGGTGGATATATGGGATAAGGGATTGTGGCTCTCAGAAGCAGGCAATTGGGGGATTATTTGTCACTGTTCTGGGGCAGGAGGGCATGTGACCTTGAGGATGTGTACTGGTGTGAAGCAGGCCCATTACATTACAATAAGTCTCAGCCACAAAGACTGCCACAAGATACACTCAAGTGTGTCTGCTTCCAGAAAGGATGTTTGGTGCTAACTCAAAAGATATTTTCTACTTGGCTGAACACCAGGACACATAGCACAGGCAGACTGTTCCGAGGGACCATGTGGAAGCCAATTCCATCTCACTGCAAGTCCTCAGCACCACAAGCTTTTGGAGAGAAGTGCTTAAGACACAGCATAGGCAGAACCTTGTTTTGAAAGGGTTGCAAAATGCATCAGTAAAATGCATCAGTAAAACCATTTAGCAACAAGGAGTTTGGGAAGGGCTTTTTGGCCAGCTCAGGTTTTCTTCAACTGATCACTGATACTAGAAAGAAGTCAAAATGTAGAACTGAGTGTGCTGTGACCTTCCACAGTGTAGACAGTCACTATATCTGGGGAAAATGCATTAAAATTAGCAGCCCCAAACACAAAGAGTCTTCAGTAAAGAAAGATGTTACCGGCACAGTGAATGTGGTAAATCCTTTAGCAAAAGCTGTAGCCTCAGTGACCCCTTGAGGATTCATACTAGAGAAAAGCCTTATGAGTGTGGTGACTGTGGGAAATCCTTTAGGCAAAGCTTTATCCTCATTCAGCACTGGAGAATTCACAATGGAATAAGGCCTTATGAGTGCAATGAATGTGGGAAAACATTTAGCCATAATTCTAATCTCATTAGAGAATTCACACTGGAGAAAGGCCTTATGAAACTTATGAATGCAGTGGATGTTGGAAATCCTTTAACCAGACCTCTCACCTCATCAAACAACTGAGTTCACTGCGGAGAAAGACTTTATAAATGCAGTGAATATGGAAATTGCTTTCGTGGGGGGATTGGGGGCATACCCAGCAATACTCAGAAGTTACTCCTGGCTTTGCAACTCAAGAATTACTTCTGCCAATGCTTGGGGGACCATATGGGATGCCGGGGATCAAGCCTGGTCAAACCTGGATCAGCCATGTGCAAGACAAACACCCTACCTGCTGTACTATCACTCCAATCCCAGAATGTTGAAAATTCTTTATGTCTCGCTACCATCTCTTCAAACATCAAAGAGCTCATTCTTGTTTAAGACCTCATGTCTGTGATGAGTGTGGACCAGCCTGTCCAACCTCAGTAAACATCAGAGTGTTAAAACCAAAGAAAGGCCAATTCTATGTGGCAAATGTGGAAAATCTTTTATCTGTAAACCCTACCTCATTACATACTGGATAACTCATACTGTAGCAAAGGCCTTATGATTGTAGGGAATATGGGAAATGTTTTAGTCATAGCACTTCAACACTGGTGAGTTCACACTAAAGGAAGGTCTTATGAGTGCATTCATTATGGGAAAGCCTTTAGTCACATCTCTGTTCTCACCAGACACTAAAGAGGTCATACTGGAGAAAAGGCCTTATCATTGTAGTATCTCACCAACCCTTGGTGTAATCATTGCCTTTAACTTTCACAGTATTATAAACATCTATTGTATATCCTTGCAAAAAGAAAGATGTGCCAATGGATGCTCTCATCATAGAAAATACAGAGCTCACAACATGGAAAATAAAACAGCTTTTACCGGGGCACCCAGAGCCATAGTATAGCTGGTAGGGCATTTGCCTTGTATGTAGCCAAACTGGGTTCAACCCCCTGCACCCCATATGTCTTCAAAGCCCACTAGGAGTGATTCCCTGAGCACAGAACCAAAAGTAATTCCTGAGAACTGCAAGTTTTGGCCCAAAAACAATAAAAAAGAAAAGGGGCCACTGTAGGGGTGCAGCTGGTTGAGGCGTGAACTGAGGAAGTAGACTTAATTTGTGCAAGATACATTAAGCAAAATGATCTTCAGATGTGTACATGAATTGGTTTGTAACATAATTGCCATAGGAAAATATATGAACTCACAGTCACACAGACTCGTACCATGTACAAATCTCAAAATTCCTCCTGAGAAGCCCCCTCAGTCCTGAGGAGGATATGAGTTGGCACCATCCTATGAGCATGTGCCAGTCTTCCATCACAAGGAGACTACCTACCACCCTGTGGAACAGCAGTCTCATCAGACACCTGGGCACTCTGCTCCACTGAAGAGGGTGGGCTGGTCAGCTCCAGACCGGGGGAAACCATTCAGGCAATACCCAAAATAGCAGGAGTGAGATGCAGCCCAAAAGCCTGTGAGTACCACTTAAGTATAGTCCTGGTAGCCCCCAATAGGACCTGGAGCAGAGCTGCACTGCCAGCCTCTGGCATTGTGCCCTCTGTCTTGTGTGGCATTATATGGCGGGAAGTAACCCTGGGGCGCCATCTGGCAGGCTCTCCAAATTACATATGTGCACACCCAATAAAGGTAAAGTGAAAACCTCTCTTTGTTGTCATCAGTAGTTAACCCACTGTGCAAAGTTGCCCCCGCACTGTGAAAATGTTAAGGCCAACTCCAGATTCCTGATGTCGGTTACTCAGCCTCCGGGCTGCCACCTTCGCAACAAGCACAGTGCGGTAGTGGGTGAGGCATGGCCTGGGGAGCCTGGCGTGTCTCCCCACATGCTTCCCTACAGTGAGGGCGCATCAGTCCTAGGAACAGTCACGGAGAGGATGGGGTTTCACTGTCACCAGAACGAGCAGCCACACTCCCTGCCAAGTGCTCACAGGGCACTGAGGCCCCAACAGGCAGGGAGTTGCTCGCGTCCTGGTCTCAGGTTGGGGGCACTGATGGAGGCGGCGGATGGGCACGGACCAGGTGGGAACCCTCAACCCCGCCATCCAGTCAGCAGTGTTCCCAGCTCTGTCACTGGCGCGGGATCCAAGCGAAGAGATAGAGCCTCAGACCCAAGAATGCAGCGAGGACGGTTCCTTCCTCTCGACCACTCCATCCCCCACGTCACCAGTGACTTGAGACACTCAAAAGCTCTGGAAAGGGGAAACTACCGAGCCCTGGAAATGAGGCCTAAATTCAGGCCTCCCAGGACCCACCGCTGCGTGGAGGCGATGTAGTGGCGCTGTCAGGCCATAAGAGGGCGCTATGGCCGCTCTGTTGAGCCAAGGCTTGCGTGGGACCTTGAGGTGAGAAGGGACTTTGCTCAGGTTCATAGCGATGGAGAGATGTTCAGCCTGCACGGGGGGGGGGGGAGGGGGGGGGGGGAATTTCTGAGATGGTCCCAGGACCTACTGATGGAAATTGCTCTGACGGGGAGGGGGCGGACAGTGAAGGGGAGGCCTCTGCCTCTCAACTTCTCTTGTGTTGATGTAATGTGCTGTGCTTCCAGATGATGTAATCCAGTTCTAAGCAGCAGAGGGCTCTGGGTCCGAGCGGTTTAGAAACAGCTCTGGAAACTGGTCACTATCTTTATCAAAGAGATAGGCTCTGGGGCTGGAATGATAGCACAGCAAGTAAGGCGTTTGCCTTGCACATGGCCGACCCGGGTTCGATTCCCAGCATCTCATATGGTCCCCTGAGCTACCGCCAGGAGTAATTCCTGAGTGCATCGCCAGGTGTGAACCAAAAAGCCAAAAAAAAAAAAGAGAGAGAGAGGCTCTGCTCATTTTCAAATGTAGCCAAGAGACATTATTCCAGGCTTGAAGTATCAAGACTCCATGTGGCTCAGGTGATGTCGGTGATTTAAAAAAAAAAAAAAGATTCTCCAAGATTACCTGATGGAATGACCAAGGAGTCTGGTTTGTGGAAATAGTTGAGCAAAAGTGCCTCCAACTTTAAGCAAGGGACACTGGCTGATGAAGTTAAGATTGCACTAAGATCCCACTTCTCTAACACCATTTGTTATACTAAAAATTTAAGAAACAACTGAAACATCAAAGTGACTTTTATAGTAATTCAATAAAAAATAATGAACCATCAAAGTATATCTGGGACCTAATAATTGCATTTGGTGATAGTGAATCAGATAGAAAAATCTAACATGTGCTTTCACCATTTTATGGAAAGAAAAAGGGAGATGGGGTGGTTTTAAAAAGGAAATGAGGGAGGGCTGGATAATGTAGCAGAGAAACTTTTGCCCTGCATGAGAACAAACCAGGTTCAATCACCTGCATCCCAAGTTGCACCAGGAGTGACCCCTGAGCAGAGCCAGAACTACCCGAGTGACCAACCCCTTAGCTGTGTGTCCCCCTCTGCTCCCCAAAAAAGACTGTCAAAATGTGCCAACTACTTTGGCAGTACATGGATTACTGATTCACAGAAAGAATTATAAGGGAACTAATTAATTCTGAGGCCTGACTCAGGCTTATAAAGTCAAACCTTGCGATCTGTATTGGGGTGGGAAATTTTCTTCAGCAATCTGATAAGACCGTTCTACATCCCTGGTGGTTGTTAAAAGTGTCGTGTCTCAGTTCACTGTGCCCCTTCCTTCACCACCGAAGGATGTTTGGATCATCTACATTATGACTGGGTTATTATTTATTATTTTTTATGGCCACAACCTGGGTCTGCTTCACCTAAGTTCTTAACCCCTGTACTATCTATCCTGCCCTCACACATTTAAACACTAGGCTCTAAACAGTTCATCAGTGCAGCCCATTGTAGCTGGAGGGAAGGAGTGGATTTGAGCCACACACAACAGTCCTCAGGGCTAATCCTCTAGCACTTTATACAGGGATCAAACCTGGTGGCATTCTGGATACTTACTGTTGTGCCCAGAATCAAACCTGGGTTGGCTGCATGCAAGGAAGCATCAGACCTACAGGTATTATCTTGCCTTGCATGAATCAGAACCAGAATTCTAACACCAATACGCTTACTCCCCAACCTGGACTGGGTATGGTCCTGGAGGTGCTAAGCACTGGTGTGGCCCTAGAAGCTCCCATTTTGCCAGGCCTAAGCACTGAACTATCTGGAAAAGCCAAGGAGACACAGAACCATCTTGTGATATAAATAGTTAATAAAAGTAAAAAAAAAATTGAGAGTCTCTCAATAATGCTTGGGGAGTCAGGGTCACTCCAGAGAACACTCCAACTGCACCCTACATTTCAGTGCCCAAAGACGTGCTGCTGTGGGCAACCAAGGCCACCCCAAAGGCACCAGGGACTCAAGGCCTCAGGCAGGCAAGGCACGGTTCTTTGAGGTAGCTCCTTGGACCCTGTGTGGGTACAAAACAAAAAAAATCCTTCCATACACCAACTCTTGTCAAGGACATGAAAGAAGTAAAATCTCACACACTGCTTTTAAGTAAAACCATATGTGCTGGCGTCTGGCATTTAAAATTTATATCGGACCAGAGAGCTAGTACAGGTTAAGGCAATTGCTGTGCACATGGCCAACTACAGCTCAATCCCCAGAATCACATGTGGTACCCCAAGAACTGCCAGAAGTGATCCCTGAGCAGAACCAAGAATAAGCCCTGACAACTGCCCTCTATGGGCTCCGGCGGCTGCCATTTTCTAGAAGTCATCGAGAAGCTCCAGGTACGAGTCGTGGCAAATCCCAAGTCTCACGGAACAGGGGAGGAGTGGGCCCTTCTTCTTCCCCGCCCCACCCCCCGCCTGCCCCGATGGGACTTCGAGGCCACATTCACCCACTGTCTACTTAAGCTCCCATACAGCCACGATCCAGAGACACACAAACGAATCTCAGGCCCGAGTATCTTGCTGCAGCGATTTCTTCAGACCCTAATTATTAAAATCTTAGAATTCCTGGGGCTGGAGTAATGGCACAGCAGATAGGGTGCTTGCCTTGCATGCGGCCAACCTGGGTTCTATTCCCAGCATCCCATATGATCCCCCAAGTACCGCCAGGAGTAATTCCTGAGTGCAGTCAGGAGTAGCCCCTGAGCATCGCTGTGTGTGACCCCAAAAGCAAAAAAATAATAATAAAAAAATAAAAATAAAATCTTAGAATTCCTAGAGTGCGTGGCCACTCTTCCATAGTATTACATCCATAACAAGCAATACAAAACACACTGTCTAGCATTGCATTTTCGGCAGGTATGAAGGGTGGTAGGACTAGTCTCAAAATATCGAAGGTAATTAACATAGAGAGAGTATTTTGCAAATTGCCACACAGGTAGGGGGAGGTGTGGAATGTGGGGGTGGGATACTGGGCATTTTGGTGGTGGAAAATGTGCACTGGTAAAGGGATGGGTGTTTGATGACCGTATGATCGAAGCTCAAACATGAAATTTTTGTTACTGTACTTCATGGTGAATTAAAAGAAAAAAAGAATAAGCCCTGAGCACAGCCACATGTGGCCCAGCACCACCCCCTCCACCTCCATGATATATACACACTCTGATTCAGGCATGGTGCGCCAAGAAAACAAGATAAAAAGGAAATAAACGTTTCAGTATCTAGTTTTATTTACAACTCACAATTATGCATAAACAGAAATGAATAAACAATATTGTTACAACCACAGAACATCTCAGCTATATAAAAAAGAATAAACTACTCATACAACTACCATTATTGGATCTCAAAATGAATGAGGCAACTCTGGACAAAAGTGTAAACTCTTTAATATATTAGAAAAGCAAATCAATGCTTACCTGAAGGCAGAAAGTACAGAGGAGGTATTCCTCCAACAGCAAAAGAGAAACCATATGTATTTTCATTATGTGACGATGGTTTTAGAGATTATACGAATGTCAAAACTTACCAAATGAAACTGTTTAAGTACAATTAGCTGACTGCATGTCACTTCATATTAAAGCTTTAAGAATGTGGTTCAGGACTGGCGAGATGGCTCAACAGGCTCAGCACCTGCTCTGTATGAGGGGAGCCTCGGTGCTATTCCCAGTACTGCACAGTTAGTCTCCCAGCACCATGGCTGTGGCCCCCAAACAAAAAATAAATCTAAGAGGTACAAAACAATTCTTATTTCGTATTCTATGGAAATCAGCTCTATGGACCTGACCCTACCATCTTTTCCCGATAACAGCAAATATTCACAAGCAATTAACCCTTTTTCATCTGATTTAACAAAACACTGACAGCCCACTCTGGTCACTTCCTCCCTGCTGCATTCCTAAGGAAAAAACTTTTCCTTCCACTTCTCTTCATGTAAGCAGAACCCAACAGTTCACAGAGTGAAAAGAATCCAAGTTTAAAGGTGACTTACAAGGTAAGGATTTCAGGAGCCAGAGCAACTGTACAACTGTACAACTGTACTTGCCTTGCACGTGACTAACCTGTATTTGATCCCTGGCACCCCATATGATCCCTCAAGCCTGCCAGGAGTGTACCCTGAGTGCAGAGCCTGGAGTAAACCCTGAGCATTGCTGGGTGTAGCCGCAAAAGAAAACAAAAAAGGACTTCAGTTTCTCAAAAACTATAGGCAAGTGCCAAGGCCAGAGAACTTAACAACAGAAAGTTCTCTAAGGAGACCTCTGGGATATAAACAGGAGCTCTTAAAAAGCTAGTCCATATTTTCTTCGTATAAGATAAGCATAGTTCTTTGGGCCATAAATAAGTCTAGACACCTAACTTAAAAAAAAGAAAAGAAAAAGGAATGAATACTCAGGGTTGTTCCTGTAAGTAATAGCACACCGCGATATGCTTCCCTCAACACTCTGGGTCCAATGTTGTATGTCATCATGGACACTTTCCAAGTGGCAGAGGTGAAATGGCTTTTGCTACAGATCAGACAATTATTCAACCTGGTAAGGGCCCTGCTACACGGCAGTACAATAGAGCAATCTCAAACACATGGGATTTAATGTTAATGGGGGCATGAAGTTCAATACTGAAGGATGGCATCAACACAAGTACTGTTGTATTAAACACACAGTTACCATTCACTGCAGTTTTTCTGAAGTGAACTTTAGGATATCCAGTAAGAGTGAAGCCTTTCTCAAATTTACTGCAATTCTAAGGCCTTTCCTGATGATGAATTATCAAGTGTGTAATGAGGAAAGAGTTTTGACTAAATGATTTTCCATATTTATCACAATGATTTCTCTGTGAACACTATAGGGGCTGGGGTTGTAGGTAGAAGTTTTCCCACACTTGAGACACCATAGGCGCTTTCTACTGTGTGGACACTCCTGTGTTTAATGAGACTGGAGTTCTTAGCAAAGGATTTCCCACACTTACTACACTTGTAAGGCCTTTCTCCACTGTGAACTCTCTGATGTTGAAGTAGGGCTGAACTTTGGCTAAATGCTTTCCCACATTCCTTGCATTCGTAAGGCCTCTCTCCAGTATGGACACGCCGATGGAGAATAAAGTTAGAGTTGTCAGCAAAGGACTTCCCACATTCACTGCACTCATAAGGCTTTTCTCCCGTGTGGACACGCCTATGTTTGATAAGTCTGGAGTTTTCAGCAAATGATTTCCCACACTCAGTACATTTGTAAGGTCTGGATCCAGTGTGAAGTCTCTGGTGCTGACGGAGAGCAGAACTTTGGTTAAAAGTCTTCCCACATTCACTGCATTCATATGGCCTTTCCCCAGTATGAATTCTCCGATGTTTGACAAGTGTAGAGTTCTGGCTGAATGACTTACCACATTCGTTGCATTCATATGGTCTTTCCCTAGTGTGAACTATCTGGTGTATATTGAGATTGGACTTCTGGCTAAATGATTTTCCACATTCTCTGCATGAATATGGTTTCTCTCCAGTGTGCACTTTCCTGTGTTCAATAAGTTCAGATTTCCGCCTGAAAGATTTCCCACACTCCTCACACTTGAAAGGTCTTTCTGTACTGTGAACACTCCAATGCTGAATGAGATTGGGCTTCTGCCCGAAGGCTTTCCCACATACTTCACACTTAAAAGGTCTTTCTCCAGTGTGAACCGTCTGATGGCGAAGAAGAGAAGACCTCTGACAGAAACTTCTGCTACATTCACTGCACTTATAAGGTCTTTCTCCAGTGTGAATTCGCCTGTGCTTAATGAGTCTAGAGTTTTCAGCGAACGATTTCTCACATTCAGTACACTTGTAAGGTCTGGATCCAGTGTGAATTCTCTGATGCTGACGGAGTGCAGAGAATCGTGTAAAGGACTTGCCACATTCTCTGCACTCATAAGGCCTTTCTCCAGTATGGATTCTGCGATGCTGAAGGAGAGTTGAGCTCTGGCAAAATGCTTTTCCACATTCATTGCATTCATATGGTCTTTCTTTGGTATGAACTCTATGATGGACAATGAGGTTGGACTTTCGACTAAAAGATTTTCCACACTCCACACAATCATAAGGCCGTTCACCAGTGTGCACCCTCTGATGAGTGATCAGGTTGGAGCTTCGTGTAAACGATTTCCCACATTCCTCACACTCATAGGGTCTGTCTCTAGTGTGATCTCTCTGGGGGGCCTTTGTAAGTAACAGTTCGCATTGCTCCGATGAGAAAGTTCTTTCTTTCGTACGGACCCTCTGATGCGGGTTGAGGCTAGCACTTCTGCTAAAGGAGCTTCCACATTCATTGCACATAAAACAACTTTCTTTCAGGAATCTCTGAAAGTAACCAAATGCTTTTTTGCAACTGAAGGCTTTTGTGTACTCTTCCCATTTGTGAAAAGACTTTTTCTTCTGAAAGGACACCCTACACTCATTTCTACCATTTGACTCTCCCCTTATATTAGTGGTCTGTTCCTGGAGAAATTCAGAATTGGCCAAGAAGGCCTGTGCAACCAGTCTACAGTAAAACGGCTTCTCTGATAAATGGCACCTGCAGTTCCTCATGAACACAGCCCCGTCCACATCGCTTCTAACAGGCCTTTCAGCACCACACTGCCTCCAATGCTGGTGAAGACTAGAGCACAAGAACAACTGTTCCCCACATGTCCCACAGCTGTGTAGCTGCTGCTTGTGATATGTACCCTGGGGCTCCTCCAAGTGCAAAATATCTCTCAGTATCAGGCCACACATTTCACAGGGATGGGTTTTCCTAGGAGACAAAGGTACCTTAAGAGTCCTGATAGGTGAGACTCCTCGATCAGAAACACTTTGGTCAAAATCAACCTCCTCACTCTCCACTTTCTGGCAACAACCTGAAAGCAAGAAGGAAAAACTGGGTAAGAGCATACTGCGGCTGGTGGGAGGAGACTGTCTATATACACACGCATGCCTGAGGAACCTAAGAATGAGACCACATGATAACCTGCAGGAACAGGGAGCTAGGTTCAGATTGGTAATGGGAATGTGTAGCAGGCCTCAACTCTTATAATGATGGCGGAGGCCACATGAGGTGAAAAGTCTCATGTGGTGTCACACAGAAGCAGGGTGTGGTGACAGGACAGGTTCACACAGTATAGATAGGAAACTCCATCCCAGAGAAACAGCGGCATTGATCAGGACACTGTCAGACTGAACATTCTTACCACAAAACACAGTGGTCAGTATTGGAGCCCACTTCACTGAGCATGGATTTCTGCCCATCTGGGGAGGACTGAGGAATGTCAAACCCACTTCCTCACTGAGTGTAGGTGCTAGGTGACACAGGGACTGAGAGAGGCACAACATATGCACAGCCAATGTTTGTTCACCCTATTTTAATCAGAGAAAATGTATTGTAGAGGAAATGTTACGGGCACTCTCTGAGGTGGCCTTGCGAGAACACACAGGGAACACTTCAGAGACTAATTCCTGGTGTGGAAATGAAACCTAAAGCAGCGTTTCTCAACCGGTGACCACATGGCCCCCTGAAGCCCTCTGCACTACTCCAAGGCGGAAACTGCACAAATTAGATCCAGAGTACAAAACTAGAGGCCAATCGGTATGGAAACACAGGAAGAAAATGATGGCTGAAAAACAGTGATGATGAGGGAGGGAGGAAGCTGACCCAGAGTGCAGAAGACTCAGGTCTGGACACTGTCGACCAGCCGGAAGAGGACAAGTGAGGGGACTGAGGGCAAGACCCCACAACCAAGAGTCTTCCATAGGACCCCAGGAAAGCAGCTCTGGGTATGTTCAAGACAAGAATGGATACCCCTGGCCATTGAAATGGTCCTAATAGGAGAATAGAGAAGAGCTTCTGGAGAGAAGCAAAGGGTGTAGAAGAATTCAGGAAACCAGGAAGTGGGGGCTAGAGAGAGACTGGGTAGAGTGCCTGCCTTGCAGTATTATTCCCTTTATTCTCTATGATCCTCTAAACATTGCCAGTAATAATTCCGGAGTGCAGAGCCAGGAGTAACCCCTGAGCATGCCCCCCACCCCCCTAAAAAAAACCAAAAGCAGCAAACAGGAAGATCTGGGAGGCACTTACCCAGAGATGTTACAATAGCCAAGTTCTCCAGCATGACGTCACAATACAGGCGCCTCTGAGACTCATCAAGCAGGTCCCACTCGTCCCAGGAAAAGTATATGGCCACATCATCAAAGGTCATAGTGCCCAGCTAGGATGGTGACAGAGAAACCAGGAATAATTCAGTGCCAAGAGTCACAATGCATTTACTCACACATCAATGTTATGGCACTCAGATCCAAAGATTCTCCAACCAGTGAGCAAACAACCCTGCTGGCAGAGAGGTGCCACATTCTTACAGTTCTGACCACCAGCTACACAAAGCTGAGCCACAGACTCCCAGACCAACAGCCGGTGCCAGCTCTAACCAGTGCTCCATCCTCTTCCTGAAAGATCTCCTTGGCACAGCCATTCAATTTCCTCATAGCAATGCTGGGCCAGAGAGCACCTGCGTGGACCACAGAATCTGCTGGCTGCAGCCTCGATCTAGTGCCCTTCGGCTAAGATGGTGTCTAGGCCACACCTCATGGTCTTCAATAGACCAGGCAATGCGCAAGGCTGCACCTGGGTTCCCACAGGCTGCGCAGACACTCCTGGCCCAACTACATGGCCATGCTCACCCCCGCTGTCCCCAAGGGCCCATGGACTGAAGTTTCTTTCTCCTAATCTTGCTCCTGTAACACCTGAGGTCCCATAGCTGAGCAAATGAACATGCTGACACCAGCAGTGCTGCTGTGGTTCATTAAACATTCAGTGCAAAAAAACTCCATGTGCTAAAAATCATGTCAATCCCTGCTCTGAGGCGCACACAAGACAGGAGAGAGGAATGCCCTGCCACAGAGGCAGGGTGGGATGGGGCGGATGGGGGGTGGGATGGATACTGGGACCCATGGTGGTGGAAAATGGGCACTGGTGGAGGGATGGGTACTTGATCACTGTATAACTGAAACCCAAGCACAAAAATTTGTAAGTCTACAACTGTACCTCATGGTTTCACTAATAAAAATTAAAAAAAAAAAAGACAGGAGAGAAAAACTCTGTGAGAACAAGAGAGAGGGGACCCTCAAATTCCAGAGGAGGGAGTGGTGGGCTATCCGAATTAAATGAGCTGAAATGGGTGTCCCCACGCCATCCTGTGGAGACTGTGTCGGGAGGGCATGGGGTCCACAAAGGGTCACTAAGGCCTCTGCATCCACCACGTACAGAAGTAGCTCGCTCGGCCAACACATGCCAAACCTAGTATACAATAGTAGATTTAGCATCAAAAGAGAGCTAGCAAGGAGCCTAGCAATAAAGCAAACACAACCCCCAATGATCTGTCATCGCCTGACCAGTTCCTACCCAAATGTATACAGCCCCCCTCCCAGTCCCATACTACTTCTACAATGTACTTGCTGTCACCTCAGAAAATAGATGCCCCCAGAATTCTCAAAGCTCAGCCCATGAGTCAACCAACCCAGACCCGGGAGCAATCACCATAACTATCCTTGACCCACTCAGCTGAATGAAATTCCTCCACTGGTCATCTAAAATCATGGGGAGTCTATAATGTGAACAGTAACTGCCTCCAGTCAGGTGTGGGGTGCATGCCTGATGGGGCTCAGGACCATGTGGAACCCCAGCTGCAGCAACTCTCCAGTCCCTCAAATTGACATTTGTATCCAGGAGACTTCTGCTTTTCTGCATTTCACTCATATCTGTTCCTCCCTCTCAGGACTGGTGGCCCTGAGATCCTCAGTCCACATACCTGCCTCTGACCCCCCCATTTATGAAGCCATGTAATGTGTTCTCACTGTGTTTAATCAGCCAAGCAGACCCAAATAAGAGATCAGCAGATGGTCCACTTCCCTCCAGGCCTCAGGACACTTTGCTGTCTGAGGTAAGCAACATTAAGTTCTCTATAATCTGAAATAGACTCTGGGCAGGTCTCTGGGTATGGGTTTCTCCAGGGAACTGGAAGAACACCACGGAGAGTCCCAGAAGGTGCTAGGACACCCACAGCTGTGTGAGTTCCAGGAATGCTCCTGGGCAGGGAAGCTGAGAGGCCTGAGAGATGGAGGGACAGGTGTGGGTAGAGCTCCCTGGTTCTGGATGAGATGAACAGGTGTTGGTGGGGCTCCCAGGTCCTGGGTCAGATAGAGGAAAAGATGTGGGTAGGGTTCCCTGGTCCCCTGGTTCCCTGGTCCCGAGTGATGGAGAACAAGTGTGTTATCAGGTGCCACTGGGCTAGATGACGTCTAACCTCAGTCCTAGAACCATGTGATCTTGACACTCCTCAATGGCCTCATCACTCCTCTCCAGTCTATTCTTTGAAGAGATTTTCAGAGGCTGGGGGTGGGGGCTGAGATAGTACAATGGGCAGCACACTTGCCCTGTATGTGGCTGACCTGGATTTGATCCCCAACAGTCTGTATGACCCCTAACCCTGCCAGGAGTGATCTGTGAGCGTAGAGCCAGTAGTAGGCCCTAAACCCCACCAGGAGTGGCCTAAAAGAAAAAATAAAGCAATAAAAATAGAAAACAAGCATGTCAGAGACTGGAGGGATAGTGCAGGGTTATTGCTGACCCCAAGTTATTCCCGAACACCACTCAGCACCCCAAACATTGCTGGTGTAGTCCTCAGGCCTGAGCACCACCTCTGGGCTCTACATGCTCTGCCCTGTGCTGAACCATCAGCCTGGCTAGCTGAAAAAGGCCCCAGGGCACTAAGGGAGACTCCCAAGGTGAAAAGTGTGCTGTCAGAAATGTGAAAAACAACCACTGTGGATGCGATCTAGTTCAGCCTCTATGGAGTCTTCTGAAAAATAATGGAGGGCTGGAGAGACAGGCTGCCAAAGCCTCCTCAGGGTTCCCTTTACTGCGTGGAACTGGCTGCCAAAGAAGGGTCCACGATGTAGAAATCAATTAAGGCCTTAGGTCAACCCCCCCCCCCACACACACACACCCAGTCAGTGACTTCCTGGGTGCTAGGCAGCCCTGTTGATAAACCAGGACCATCTCACCTGACCCTCTGATCAAAGCCCTTGGAGTCTGCGGAACTAGCGAGAAGAGATAGGAGAAAAGGGTTCAAATATCTGTAGAAATTTGATTTACAAAAACTAGAAAAAAACTACAACATTTATAGAGACATGAGCAAATCAACAGTGATACATCAACCATTTACTTCTCACAATATAAACAAGATGAACTGTTCATATTAGCACCATTAATTAATCTCAAAAAAGTCAAACATTACTGAGGAAGATGTGTAACACTTTATAAAAAGGGGACAGAATGACAAGACAGTGGGGAGGGTGTTTGCCTTGCACATGGATGACCCAGGTTCAATCCCAGCATCCCTTATGTTCCCCCAAACAAACAGGAGTAATTCATAAATGCAGAAACAGGAGTAACCCCTGCACATCGCTGGTATGACTCAAAATGCCAGGAGAAACAAAAAACACCTCACTTTAATGAAAAGCAAATAAATGGTGACTTGGCATGCTCATTACGGTGACTGCTTACAACCAAATGGTATACACAAAACAAAAATGTAGCAAGCAGATCATCACTTTATGACAAATTTTGAAACATAGTTCAAAACAAAATCTGCATTTCCTACACTTTATGGAAAACAAGCTTGGCAAATCTGTACAAATTCCATCTCTTACCTTGTGGTGCAGAAGGCTGCCTGGCCTCAATGGCAGGCATGAAGGTCGCACTAGAGATGAAGACTTATGGCGAGGACTCTCCTCCATCTGCGTGTTCCACCCACACAGTAACAGCTTTAACACAAACAGCTGTGCGGCTAAATAATACCTACCAAATACTATTTCATCCACCTCAGCTACACAAGACCACGATGTGGAGGTGCTGAGAATTTGTGATTTTGTGTATCCCTTAATGTCTGAGTGACATGGCTGGCCCTTTAAGAGACCATTCCATAGCAGTCTCCTCTAACAAACTCAGTGTTCCTGCAAAATTAGACCCTGCACCCATAAAAACAAAAGAATTGCTGATGCCACTCTCGTTCCGTGAGAACAGATGTGTCTCCACTAGAAAACCTGGGGAATAATCGCACTCATGGGCCTAAGCACGGGACAGTATACCCTGTGAATGAAGGTGAATGTCTAGTTGTTCCCAGAAACAAAGCTGGTGATGTGTCATGGTTCTTCACATGGCCAGCCATGAATTTCTATATGTAACCATGGGGGGATATGAGCTACATTCACTGGAAAATAATTTCACAATCTACATGTGTACTGAGTTATACTGTATACTAGAACTGAGTATGTTGTTATTCAATAGAAAAAAAAAAAACCATCATCCCCAAGCCCCAACTGGTTCTCACACTGCTCCCTCCAGATTTACATTTGAATGCTGAGAATGCCACAGCATCTGGGATAGAAATAAGGAACACAAATCCCTGCAAACTTCCTTGAGGCCATGCACATTCTAAGATTTTAGGAGATATTGGAGATATAGGTCTGTTATGCCACTTAACCATTCCTCAGGCACACAAAGCCTGAGCAAAATTTGTCACTGTTTTCAAATCATCCCACCCAGTGACAGAAACTGAAAAACTTTAAAAGTGCCTTACTGGAGAATGGGCACTGGTGGAGGGATGGGTACTCAATCCTTGTATAATTGAAACCCAAGCATGAAAGTCTGTAAGTCTACAACTGTACCTCACGGTGTTTCACTAATAAAAAAAATAAGTAATAAATAAAAAATAAAAGTGCCTTACTGAGACAGGCCTTCACTTGCTCACAAAAATGAGAAGCAGTAGATGGGTAGAAGAGAGTCAGTCTCTGAGCTGAGACTTAAAGGATGGGAAATGCCACTATAAGACTTATGTGAGAATTGCTCTGAAGAAAGCCATCTATGCTTGTAAATCACAAGGAGAGTCCTTTGGACCCCAGATTTTCTCCCCTCTTTTTTTGGGGTCACACTGGGCAATGCTCAAGGATTACTCCTAGCTCTGCACTCAGGAATTACTCCTGGTGGTTTTCAGGGGACCATATGGGATGCCCCCCTTTTTTTTTTTGCTTTTTGGGTCCCAGATTCTTAAACCAATCACAATCCATATGGAGTCACAGAAGTGAATGTGGGATTCATGAACATTCTGGTGACAAAACATTTCTGCATGTGGACAATGACTGAAAATAAAGG